TTGGGGACTATAAGCACAAGAAGACTAATGAAGAATTTCCTGAGATGACATGAATTTAGTAAAGGAATCAGAGAAATATTCACGAGCATTATCACTCCGTAATATACAAATGGTAGTATTATGTTGAGTCTTAATTTCAGCACAAAATGATGAAAATATGGAAAATAATTCAGAACGAAATCGTATAAGAAATAACCAAGTGCAACAGGAATAGTCATCAATAAAGGTAACAAAATATTTAAATCCCAAATTAGAGGTAACACGACAAGGACCTCACACATCTGAATGCACTAACTCAAAGGGGGACGCAGCCCATTTATTGACATGCTTTGGAAAAGAACTACGAGTATGCTTTCCAAGCTGACACGACTCACAACTTAAGGACGATAATTTAGATAGACCTGGGATCATTTTCTGAAGTTTGGAAAGACTAGGATAGCCCAAGCGATTATGAAGGAGATCCGGAGACTCGGAGACAGTGCATACTGTAGATGGGATATGGAGATGATAGAGACCCTGTGACTCACGTCCTATGTCAATCATCTGTCCCGTGTCGCTATCTTGGATAACAACAGAGTCAGTATCAAAACGAATAGAGCAATTTAAAAAGCGCGTAAGTTTACTGACAGACACAAGATTAAAGGGACATTTGGGAATATAAAGCACAGAGTCTAATTCTAAGGAAGGGAGGGGTTTTGCACAACCAATAGCTTGAACATCGGTTTTAAACCCATTAGCTAAAGTAACAAGGGGTAAAGATGCAGTATTTGTAATCTGAGTAAGTAAACGAGGGTTACCAAAAATATGATCCGAGGCACCTAAATCCAGGACCCAAGGTCCTAGAGTGGAAGATTGAGTAAGGCAGGCAACTGAATTACCCGTTTGAGCGACGGAGGCAATGGATGAAGAAGACTGCTTACTAGCCTGATACTGTAAGTATTCATCATAATCAGTACCTGTGAGAGTTAAGGAGGGCTGAACCTGCACTGTAGAGGACTCAGAATGAAGATCAGAGTGATCAGCTTGAGCAATATTAGCAGCCCGGGTAGGTCGACCATGTAACTTAAAACATTTCTCTCTGGTATGCCCCCACCGATGATAGTAACTACACTTGGGTCGATTTCCTCTGCCACCTCGATCGCCCTGTTCTCTTTTAGTAAAAGTGTGGGACTGAGAAACAAGAACCGAAGAGTTACCAGGGGAATGCACTATAGTAGGGGAGGAAACACGAAATAATCTGGCAAACACTTCATCAAGGGAAGGCACAGTAGATCCAGAAAAGATTTGATCTCGAATAGGTGTAAGATCTGGACCTAGAGCTGCAAGTGTCAGGACCATAAAGAACTTGTCCATTTGAGCCAAATCTTCTGCCGCAGATTTACCAACTGGTAACAGCATATTGAATTCTGTCTTAAAGGAGGCCATCTTACCAAGGAAGTCCGAAATATTCATATCCTGGTGTTTGAGATGAACTAAGTTGGACACAACAGAATATAAACGTTGAATGTCATTTGTATAAAGAAGTTTAGCCTAACTCCAAATATCAACACAAGAGCGGTAAGATTTGTAAATAGGGTGAAGGGGGGGATCAATAGTTTGCCATAACATACTACACAACATAGCATCAATTTTAGTCCAAGAAGACTTATCTGATGTAATATCGACAACCTTGGTGGTCAAGTGATCCTCCATACCTTGACCCATACACCATAATTCGACAGAGGCAGCCCAGGATGAATAATTAGCAATCCCAATTAATCTCTCAGTGGTGATGGGAGAGAGAGATAAAAAAGAAAAAACCACTCGGATGCGAGTGAGAGGCTGATGAAAGGGGATCCATGAAGAAGGTCATAGTGTCTTGAAGCTGACAGAAAAGCAGAAGCTCACGCTTGCCGAAAAAACAGATCGGAGCAGAAGCTGAAATACCTTGAAGGGTTTTGCCGACGAGGTGGAGAGGAACAAGATGCTGGTGGCAATGAGAGCTCACGCTCGCCGGAAAAGCAGATTGGAGCAGAGGCTGACGGAAACACGATTGGCACGTGCAGCGGCGACCGACGACGAAACCACTTGGGTTATGACGACGATGAGAAGACGATCAGTCTGGTGTGATTAGACCAGATCCTGATCATTGCCGGAGAACAGTCGCCAGAAAAAAAAATTGCCGAGAAAGAGAGAAGAAAAAGAAAAAATTTGGAATTTCAGAAACCTGGCTCTGATACCATGTGAAGAAATACTTTGTTTTTACTTATTCTTTCACAATGAAATGTACAATGAATTTATAGCAAAAACAAAAGACTAATCTAGGAAGTAAATTGTTACATTCTTATTATAACTGATTTAATTTTTAATAGCTTTGATCATAACCTAATATAGAAGATAGTCTTTAATGAGAATAATCATATTTCCTATTTTACACTTCAACACAGCCCACCCAAGCCACCACCCCCACCCACCTGTCGTCGACCACCGCCGTCGAAACCGCGCACCGAAGGCCGAAAATGGCCGCCATGTGCCGATATGGCCATGTTTTGCGAGAGATCTGGCCATCAATGATCAAGTCTGTGGCTGTCAATGGCTATCGATCTAGCTATTGACGGCCAGATCTCTGGTCGAAAATGGCCATACGGCGCATGGAGGCCATTTCCTGCCTTCCGTGTGTCGTTAGTTTACCGGCGGTGGTTGTCGGTGGACGATAATGGCTGGGTTGGTGGGGTTGCTTTGTTGATTTTTCAAACTTTTATTATGGGGTTGTTTTTGCTAAGTTTTTAAATGCAGGATGGTTATAATAATCCAAATAATAATCAATATTAAAAAATAATATTTAATTAGAGGACAATTTAGTTATTTAAATAACATACCCACCAATTTATTCATCCCAGCCAGACATATTAATAAAACATATCCACCAATTTATTCTAACTAACCAAACACATTTTCCTAAAGATTTTCAATAATCTTCAAGGTAATCTAACATTCTCTAAACTAAACGCGCCCTAAGAGACATGTTGGATCCACACTTATAAGGCATATTGCAAATTTTTTTATTTTTTATTTTTTATGAAGTATTGCTACTACAAAAGTAAATTAATAAACAATATAATTGTAGATGCGTTTATTGAAGTTTAATGATAATATTTGTTTTTGTCTATGCGTTTATATAAGTTTATTGGCAAATTATGCGTCTGATTAGATTGTGTCTACAAGGATTTCTAATGGTATAGTTCATTATAATTACATATGCCAATTTTATTTATTTTTTTTTTCCTGAATGTATTGATAACTTACACTTTAACCATACTAAAGCATTATGATTAATGCTTTAGTATGGTTAAAGTGTAAGTTATCAATACATTATAAGGTTTCCTTGTACATATTGTATTGAACTCTGAGACTCCCAACGTCCTTTGTACTTCGTAAAAACCCAAATAACATCCATTGTTTCTGCAAAGTTAATATAAGAGGTTAATATATGCACAAGTATAAGCAATTTGTAGAATTCATAACACAAAATAAATAAAGTACCAATTCAACCCGACAATGCTCGATACTTATCAATCAGGCATTATTTCAAAACCTATAATATCTGACATAGCCTGATATCGTTTGATCCACTTTATCGGGTGTTTCTACTTCAAATATGCCCTATACCCTACAATCAGGCGCTTATCAGGTTGCTAAAAACGTATGCCCAATAGTGTCCTATTATCGAGTATCAGACACTAGTCGTCTTGACCTCTATTGTAAACCCGACTAAAACTACTTTAAATTCACAACCTCAACTATTTTATACATTCCTACTTACAAATTAACATAACAAACATACCAATTACTCATCCCAAGCTTAATACAGTATTTAAGATCAAATCTATAAGAAATTTTCAATTATATACTAATCTATCAAATATTTCAAATTATAAATAATATACCTATTGGGTTATGGCTTCTAGTAGACGAAAAACTCAACAAATGAGCCAAATAATATCTTCTTCTCAACAAATTAAGCTTCAATAATATTGGATGGTGTGAGAACTTGTTGATAAGAGAAAAAAAAATATATATATATATTGAGAGAAGAAAAAGAGGTGTTAGGCTAAGTGTTAATTGGACAAGAAGGGGCAATTTCGTCCTAATTTAAACTAATGTGGAAGGGACATTTCATATTTGGTGAGAAATTTTTTTTTTTGGAAAGTGGGGAGGTGGGGTGGGTTTGTGGAGAGAGAGCAAAATTTGTTTTTTAAATCTTATCCCATATAAAGCTAAGTCGCTGTTACACGTCTTCAGCTATCATATTTATTTATTTTTATGGTTAATGTGATAATTTTACATTATCACATTATTATTATTATTATTATTATTATTATTATTATATCGAATAATAGCTTTATATTAAAAGCACATCCGGCTATAAAATTTAGAATACAATGGTTTTTTTTTTTTTTTTTAGAATTTTCAATTTTGAAATATTTTCACATATAAGCGGCTTTACTACTCTTAATTCTCAAAATTTGAGATTTATTTATGGACAGATATAAACATAAAATCACATGACTTAACTTATTTGTCCTCAATAAAAAAATAAAAGAACAAAAATAACCATAATTCATTAGACTGTCAAATCCAACATCATCTAACATAATTTAATATGGTTTAATTAAGTTATTAAACCATACTATTAAATGTTAGACTCAATGTTAGATTCCATTTAAACTATCAAGTCTAACATAATCTACTCTATATACTAGTAATATAATACTTATTATTTCATTAAAGATATAATTGATAAATCATTGAATTTTATGACACACTTTGTACTTTAAATAAATCCTACACACTATAGTCCAAACCCAATTTGTTTTTCTCATTTTATCGGGGAACAGTTAGTGTAGTCTATAAAACGTTTGATACGATACAACATAATAAAGAAAAAACCGCCACTAAAGCGGTATTAAACAGTTCAGTACGCATCTCGAAAACACTTATAAATTATAATTGTGAAAAGATTACAATCCAAAGCCGAGAAAAGTCCTTGTATTTATCAACCAAACTATATTTCCAAACAAAACACTAAATTCTACTTTCTACAAAGAAATTAATGTTACAACTTACAAATGCTATAACAATCTTAATACATCCTCCCAAAAAAAAAAAAAAAAAAAAAAAAAAATTTAATCTTACCGACATCCTGCATTAACAACGTATCTGACCAACTGGCCATTCTAATTCTGAAGAAACGATTGAAACCAAAGAAATATAAAAAAATAAAATAAAAAAATACCTCTACAACTATCAGCTTCTGTTAGGTCTACTTCTATCCAGTGGCATACGAGTTTCCAGAGTTGACAAGATCTGGGGCATCGACATGCCGCCAGAAACAACAATTTCTGCAATAGGCAAACAAGAAATCTTAGTGAACTAAATGTAACAGTAAAGAAGAATTTCAATGGATGTTAAAGGGATGTTCTCATTTTCTTTCTTCACATTTCAGCATCTAAACCATTAACATGCTCAACACAGGTTACTCTATCTTCAAGATTGAGTCACCCTCTACCAAAAAAGTGCCCAATTACAAATCCTTTCTGTTCTGCACCACACTGAGCGCCATAGGCTTTCTGATGCCCTTACTATCAAGAAGGGAAAAATTCTAAAAGAGGTCCTCAAAGGCCATTAACAGGCAGGAGTGGCATATTGCTGAGCGAAAAAGGAATCTTCCTTTCTTCCCAGCCTTAGCATTTCTAAATCAAGTAGCTAAGATATAGTTGAGTCCTTACCAATCCCTTCCCGAACTGATAGATTCGGTCTGATCACATCCTTGGTATTAATGAGGAATATATCACCAATGTAAAGATGGTTAGTGGGAACATAGACACAACATAGCTCCTCCTCTCCAGAATAGTTCTGCATTCAAGGGGAGAGAGAAGGATGTTAATATTGCATTCTCCCTACAAATTTGAACTCAACAAACCTGGCTCGTCTTCAAAACAGTGACCAAATAATAGCCAATAACCAGTTAAATATATTATAGCAGAAAAGTGCCAAACTTTAGAAAGGAAAAAAAAAGACAGAAAAGAAAGAAGTACATAGGCATGCATTAGTGAGTGCACAAGAGAGACTGCTCTATGAAAGCCAAAAGAAAAAAAATGCCTTTACATGCAAAATGAAAATTTACATGGATAATAAGGTTCATTCATCATTCATCATAATATGAAGGACGGTTGTCCTTGAACTATACATTTGACAATGTCAGTATTAAGCCTATGAGCTTCAAATACTATGGAGATAAGCTGAAGTTTGGAAGCTAGCAGTGATTCAGCAACAAGCACAGTCCCAAGATTCAACAAACAATGTGAATGCCAACACAATTAAGCCCATAAAATTTTTGAAGGAGAATGGGTTTATAGAATTGCAAATAACATATTTATATATCTAATTAATTCAATGCCATATGATAGTTTCACACTGAAAAATCATTTTGTGTACCTGGAGGACAACAGATGAAGTAATGAACCCAAACGCATATTCACCAATACGTGGATGCCTTATGATTGCCACTTCCTTGAAGGCCTGCGTGTTTTGATCTGTAATAATAGAGTGATATGGACTATAAATTCCTCATGCCAAAAATCATTCCAATCAAAGAAGATCATCAACTGAATGCACACCTGGTGATATGGCAGCACTAATTTGCTTCGAAGCATTATAGATATGACGAACAAATGGCATCCTTTTGATAAACCACTCACCAAGACTCAAGACAGATGTTCCCAACCATGACGACATGAACACCCCAACCAAGAAGATGAACGTCACAGAAGTTATAAACCCAAGACCTAAAGGAAAAACAAGTCAAGATATCAAATAAGACAGGTAGAGTATCAATTTATTCAGCAACTTAAATCAGAATACAGATAGAATAGTCAAACGGAAAATCTATCAAATGGAACAGACTAGACGAAAAAGAAAAGTCCTAACTTCCTGGAATATCTGAACTAGACAAAGTTAACAAAAATGAAATCTTTTTCACCTTCTTCTGGCAACATTTCTAATTCCATTAAAATGGTCAAAAAGTTGTTGCATCACACATATTGAAATTACTGAAAAATTGAGCAATTCATAACCTAAGTGATCAAATTTCATGCTACCGCAAAGAAAATGAATTTATCAAGGCAATCTCTGAAGTGTACAAGTCAGCCAACATGTTAAATGACAGGAAAGGGAGTTGCTTTGCATTAGCCAACATATGAAATGGTAATAAAAGAACATGGCTTACCAAATATATCAATTCCTAGTTGAACGTAGATTGGAGAGAAAAAGCCATCCACAAAGTGAATAAACCACCAGGTTATATAGAAAGTAACCGCTATTGGAAAAAGGATGACACTGCAAAAAACAACTGAAAAAAATGAGCAACTATTTCATTCAGCCCAACAATCATGATTCTAAGAACTATAAACAGCCAACAGTTAAACTTACAAAAATACAAACTCATTTAGCAACATATTTGGAGGGTCCACAAAGGAATAACACTTGCTCACCAGGACAACTTCATGCATTCATACTGTTATCAAATCCATTTTTTTATGAAAGAGGCATCTCAAAAATTTCAGTCTCATGGTGTTTCATGACATGCACATGGTCTTCTTCCCTTAGTTGCTCAATTTGAAAGGACTAATAGTTCAAAAATTCCAATTCAACTGGCAAAGTCATTCACAAGGCCTTACCAAATCCAGAGTTGGAGCTCATAAAACATCTCCCACTACTTGATAAAGATACTTAAGCATAGTACAAGGAATGTCATAGGAGTAACAGATCTACCTCTTGCAAACAAATTACCAAAAGATGGGCAAAGATGGACATTCTTCTTAGGAAGAATCATTGCAGTAGGATAGTGGCTAGGATAAACTGAAAGGAACTATGGCAGTAAGGTTTACAAGGTTTAGCACATGACCACTACTTATTGACACAAATTTTAGGATGTCTGAAGTTCCTAAATCCATCATGTAAAGTAGAAGCAAGCACCACTTATTGATGGAAACAGAAATTCATGACATGTGAAGGGAAAGAGGCTGATGTTTTAGTAGTCAACTGATGCATTAACATGAAGCATCGGAGAGTAAAACCAAATATCATTTATTCAAAAAGTGTCACTTTTTTCCTTGTCATAATGGTTCAGTTCCTATACTTATCAATGATACAAGTCAAATCCTAGATGTGGCAAATGAGTAGGCAAGTATGCAACTCATAAGAAGTAACTTTATAAAAGGAAACCCCCAGAGCGTTAGCAAAACGGAGTCTTCAAGAATGGTTTTTGATACAATCTGTACTCATATTCAACGGATAAGGATTTCTTCAAAGATCAAAATTTCTAAGAAAGCACAGTCAAAAATAAAATTGAATGATTAAGAATGAAACTCTTTGATAGTCATGACATGCTCCTACAGATTCCCACAGCCCCAATTTCCAACCTATCATTTCTGTGCCACACATTATTAAATGCCCTAGCAAACTTCTTAAGCCAATAATTTAAAAAACTCATAACAATATCAAATCTAGTAACCGGAAACTTCTACAGTACAGATCGGTTAATATTGCAGGTTTTTTTACTCAAAAGAACTTTCAAAGGAACCCGGCAGGTGGGAAATTTTCAATACTAGATAACATTAACCAGTTTAAACGAAAAACATGCAAGGTCCAAATTCTTTTAAGCAATTGATATCTTTTTTATATCCAAAGAACTGTCAAAGGTAAAGCATATTCATTTACTTATACAGAACAAAGCAGATAAAAGGAAAAATCACGCACCATCCTGTCATGAACTTCTTAGAAGCCCAGCTCCTAACAACTTTGTAAAAAGTCTACAGAGTAACAGCAAAACATAAAACAATTTGTCAGACAAAAATTGAAAATAAAAACAGGCAGATAAAAACAAACTATTAGAGCGGCTTTGGTGTGCTCTACATAGCATTTGAAGGTAAAACCCAATAATCCAAATTAGACCACTGAGAGGGAAAATTGGTTAACACTACTAAGTACATCTATTTCATAGAATATTAACTCCATGTCAACTGAAGAACAAACAAGATGCATTAGCAAAATTTATAATTGATAATACAGCATCATATCCAGTGTGAACAAATGCATTAATGAGTGTAAATAATACATGCAGAACATGACATGGCTAACACACACTCATTGGTCCAAAAACTACCATGATACAAAAGACCTATATAATAATTTCTCCAACACAAGAAGTGTTCGTAGAGGGCCAATACAAACTTTGCTGAATTACTCATTTGTTTTGAAATGTTATCATTTACTTTAGAAGCTCCATTCAGATAATGTCATGCAAAACACAATAGAACTATCCATCCGTTGAATATCAACAGTCAACTATATGACTCTTTCAACAAAACCTGGATGAACAATAAAAAAGAAAAAGCAATCTAATTTCTAAAAAAGACATCCAATTCACTAATCCAATCAAATATATCTGAAGCTAAAGCAGTTGTATTCATTAAAGTGCATTGAGCTCTGATACAACGAAATCATCTACAATATCTCAAAAATATATAGCTACAGATGCAAAATGTAAATTTACGAAGACGAAAAAGGAAGAGTTGACCTCGCGACCAGCGTGATGCGAAGAAGAAGAAGAGGAGGAAGAAGGTTTAGAGGATCCGTCATCGTCACCGGAGTCAGCGACCGGAATTAGTAACTCTCGATCTCTTTCTCTCTCCCGGTCTCTACTGGCCATCACGATCGTCGATTTCTCATCGCCCATCAGCAACAAACGAGACCGTTTCTTTCAGAATTCAAACCCTAAAGACCTCTTCCTTAGGCCAGCTGTTATCTCTTACAAAGCAAAACAAAACAGTGTGTTGATGAGTAAATGAGTTTGAAATCTGCTTCCCCAATGTGGTGTTTTTGTGTTTGCCTGTTTGGGGTTATTTTAATTAATTAATTTCATGATTTAAAATATAAATAGTGGGCCGGGTGATGAGAAAGTAATTAAATAATCAGAATAAGGCGATAGGCATGTGAGGAGTTCCAGAGATCATATGTCTTGTTAGTTTTTACTCTTTGTACCGTTGATTAATTGCCTACTATGCTATGGGTACTGTTTTGTTCTTGACATGTTGATGAGCTGGAGTGATGCTATGGGTACTAATGGATGGGTACTAATCTGTGTACTAATTAAAGTATAGTACCCGTATTATGTTTTAGTTAGTACACAGATTAGTACTCATCCGTTAGTACCCAAAGTATTATTCGATGAGCTGTCTCTCGCTATCCCCATGGTACATTTCGTTATAAATATTTTATCATTTGGGATGTTTATTACATATTAATATAGGACTATAGGAGTTTCAGGATTGAACAATTGGGTCAAAAATCGTCTTGTATTATGTAGGCCCAATTCCAATCATGGGTCAGCCCATGGCCTAACCCAGTCTTTCTCCATATTAAGCATCACCATTAGCCCATCTAGAGTCAGGCCCATTGGTACATGATAACTTCTAGAGGGTCAGAATCCCACTAAAGCCCTAATACAGATACTTCCTATTTGAGTTTTATCATAATTCACTCAAGATCTTGTATCTTATGTGAATTACACTCTCAATTCCACTAAAAAGGTAAATTAGGGTCAATACTCTAATATTACGGATTCAAAGTCCTACTATGATTCAAAGACCCTATGACCACTATATAAGGAGAGATCATGCCCCTTATTAAGCATTCAATCTCAATCACCTACTAGCTCCTAAATTTTTGCTTCTAAGAGTTATACAACTATGCTGTAGTTTTTGTCTCCGACTAAACTTCCAGTAATCCTTCCGTTCTTTAGCCTTTACTAAATAAGTCTCATTCAGTCTTACTGACTTGAGCATTAGAGTGCCTATGGCAGACACCACACTGGTGTTTACGTAAGCTTCACGCTTTTTTGCTTTGTATGCAGGTTCAACGGATTGTTAGTGGCCTCAACCTTACATGATCATACCTCTTTCTGTAACAGTAGATTTTATCATCTATAAGAATGAAATTTGGATGGAAAATGTTAATTATTATTCAACTAATAACTATATTTGGGTGGTCGAGTGATTTGATAGAGACTTTTGTGTGTATTATTTAAAAGGTCTTGAGTTTAAATCTCTCTTTGGTTGTTAATAGGGGTAGCCACTAGAACTCCTACCTGTCGGTCAATAGTTATAGGGTTTTGGAGAATTAGTTAAGGTGTGTGTAAACTGGCCCGGACACCTTCGATCATCAAAAGAAAAAAAATACCATTCAATTAATATTATTTATTTTTATTTAAATTTTTAGCTCAATAATAAATGTAACTCATTTCATGTTATAAGAAAATGTACTTCATTAAGCAAAGTCAAAAGAGTAATGCTACAGCCACTGACGGTAGTACACCGAATGACGTGACAAAATCCTAACCGTTGATTAATATTAAGTTAAAATTAATCAACAGTCAGGATTTTATCACGTCATTCGATACACAAATTTGGTGCATTATCGTCGGTTACTGTATTATTTTTTAAGTCAAAATAGGTTCAAGGGGTTTTGGAGTTTGAATAGTCGATGTTGAGCCATTCTCTCCGACGACCACTTCTGAAAGGACCGGTCAACTCTTGGACCAAAAGACCGGCCCAGATAATGATTTCTCATGGGCTCCTTCAACTGACTTGTATTTTAGCCGTCGGAAATGTGAATTCGGAACAAACCAAAGTCAATGTTTGACCAACCGCGGAACTGCTGATTCATACGTAATAACGTAACCGCCCATTCCATATACGCCAGGTAAGTGGTGCTAGCCGACAGACCATCATCTACTGCCGTGTTTAACCGTTTCACGAACTTCATACCAAAGCTCAAATGTATTTGTATAAAATTTTAGCAAGTAGTTTATTTTATTACTAATTTTGAAACAGAAATTGTATTGACAAGAAATTTCTTGTATTTGTATTTGGCATGAACTGGCTTTTCTTTTTAGAAGGACCTATATTGTACAGTATAGTTAGCTGGAAAAATAAATTAATTGTTGGTTTAATAGAGGAAACCAAGACGTCAAGGCAACACCTTTTTTACTATAAAAACGCACCCGCTCTTTATTGCTTCATCTCTCTTATATAAGAGATTATAATTAACATAATATAAAATAAAAGTGGCTAATGTCTAGAAAATAGGAGATAATCACTCTAACAATCACATCTACCACAGTAAAATATTATCTTTATTTGACTAATTCAACTATGACTCATTAAAAACACAGATAATTTAATTAAAAATATGTTTATCTTTTAAGAACGCAACAGTATTGTAAGAAGTGAGAAGTGAAGAGTATTACTACACAGTGAGAGACAAATGTTGATAAACGTGGATACTACGCAGAGCATAACCATAAAAGACGAAATATAAAAAGAGGAAAACAATGAATACAGACAAAAAGGTGTCCAAAGTTGAGTCTAAATTCTATAAAGTTGTTCCACACGCAATAAATAAACCAGTCATTTGTTGGATGTAAATCCTCAAAGAGAGAAGCTTCTCGGCCTTTCAAGGTTTTGTTGTAATTGCTTCAATAATTTAATCAATCAAACCTCGTATCTCTGTATAAAGAAAGATTTATCCTTTCAGGGATTCTGGGAGAAAGATGTTGGAAGGTAAGGGTATGATTAAGGAAACAGATATGCCGGTGAAGATGCAGATCCAAGCCATGGCTTGTGCTTCTCAAGCACTTGATCTCTATGATGTTGTTGATGGCATATCCATTGCTGGCCACATCAAAAAGGTATATTCGTTTTCTATGATTTCACGCTTTTTTTTTTTTTTTTCAATTTTTGCTCTAATTTAAGAACTGTTTCCTCGTGTTCTATTTGAGCTGGAGTTACTAAAGTTTTGTTGCAGCTTTTTGAACTATTTTTGGTTTGCATTTGCAGGAATTTGATAAGAGATATGGGGGTGGATGGCAATGTGTGGTGGGTTCTAACTTTGGTTGTTTTTTCACTCACACACAAGGGAGTTTCATCTATTTTTCTGTAGAAACCCTCAATTTCCTTATCTTCAAGGCAGCTTCTTCTTAATAGTAGAAGGTATTACTTTAACCACTCTTTTAGAGAGAGTGCTGATGAAGTAGTGTTATTGATCTTCTGGGTATGTAAGAAAGATTTACCGTTAGCTAGAGTTTTGTAAAAATGGCAGACTAGTTGTTGATATGCACTTTTCTAATTCTCTATCACCACTGCTTTACTTAACTGTACACTAAATCTATACCCATCTCCCGTTTCCAATTTAGCAATTCAGAAAGAATTTTGCATAATCTGCTGTATTATCAGCAGTTGCAATTATTTGGAAAAAGATTATTACCAGACACAGTTTATTTTCCAATCACAATCAGGGAAATGTATACTCATGATTAATCATCATCAGTTATCAAGATTAAAGAATCCGTTGTTTCTTTTTGTGCCAGTTGTCACTTTCAGTGGGGATAAGCTTCTTGCCTCTTCTGGTGTACCTTTGTCCAATGTCCTGCAGTATGTATAATTGAACTTACGTTGCTTTCATCAGTCATCCCCAATAGATGTTGCTACAAGTTGACCAATGGAATATACCAAGCTGGTAGCATTAAGAGTTTTTAATGATGTGAAAAATTCGGTCTTTTATCCTGATCGGCAACGTGGACATTCTGAACAAAGCAACCGAACTTCTTAGACCTCTCATTTTATCGAAGACCTCAATCATAAAACCCATCTTCTCCCCCGCCCACTGCCCCACATATATGATATATCTCATGCACTGATGTTCGGATGGTAACATAAATTCTCTTTTGATTTCATTAAAATATTTTCTGTATTTGTAGATGTATAATTGTACTTAATCCACGTGAAACTAAATAAGAAGACTTAAACCATGTACAAGTTGNTTAGCAATTCAGAAAGAATTTTGCATAATCTGCTGTATTATCAGCAGTTGCAATTATTTGGAAAAAGATTATTACCAGACACAGTTTATTTTCCAATCACAATCAGGGAAATGTATACTCATGATTAATCATCATCAGTTATCAAGATTAAAGAATCCGTTGTTTCTTTTTGTGCCAGTTGTCACTTTCAGTGGGGATAAGCTTCTTGCCTCTTCTGGTGTACCTTTGTCCAATGTCCTGCAGTATGTATAATTGAACTTACGTTGCTTTCATCAGTCATCCCCAATAGATGTTGCTACAAGTTGACCAATGGAATATACCAAGCTGGTAGCATTAAGAGTTTTTAATGATGTGAAAAATTCGGTCTTTTATCCTGATCGGCAACGTGGACATTCTGAACAAAGCAACCGAACTTCTTAGACCTCTCATTTTATCGAAGACCTCAATCATAAAACCCATCTTCTCCCCCGCCCACTGTCCCACATATATGATATATCTCATGCACTGATGTTCGGATGGTAACATAAATTCTCTTTTGATTTCATTAAAATATTTTCTGTATTTGTAGATGTATAATTGTACTTAATCCACGTGAAACTAAATAAGAAGACTTAAACCATGTACAAGTTGTAAATCTGCTCAACATTTCCAATATAACAGCAAGGCTTTATCTAATACAAGCAACCAAAATTATAGTTTATATGATTCTTAACTAACATAGGAATAGGAGTCTACATTTAACACCTAATTAGTGTCATCAGACTGTTGGCAACTTGGATTTAAGTACTGGTTTTGTAGCATCAAGGTCCTAATTAATGAACAAATTTCAATTCTCCCTTCTTTAACCCGGATTAAATATTTACAGAAGATTGTAAGACTAACTGTTCAGTCTGTACATCAAAACAAACATTTACGAATTGTTAAAGCAGAAATTATGTTAAAATTTCTTCAACTAACCCACTCAAAAGTAGCTTCTCTATGTCATTCACAACTTGCTCTATGTCATCCGAGCAAAGTTCATTCTTCCAACCAAAATCCCATATTCCACTCTCTACTCCTTTGCACTTTAAGTCGCTCTTTAGCATTGCATATATACTATCAGGAGGAAGGTCCTCTCCAGCAACTTTCCTGTAGTTTTTCAGAGCCTCAATCCCATCATAAACCTCCTCCAACAACTGATTTAAACAGATACTGATTCTTGAATTCCTCAACCAATTTAGAAACAGTGGATTGACCATTTTTGCATCTGGAAGGCTTCTACGTTCAATAAGTTCATTTGCACAGTCCATGGAGAGTGTCTCATTGGTAACAAAAAAATCATTGATAGCAGATGATAGTAAGGTTGTAGGTCTATTAACATGGAGATCAAAAAGCTCTTGTGCATGACTCACAAATGCTGGATTGCTTGAAAGCAATACTTCTAAATCGGTTCCAGATTTGAGGCTCCTACTCTCCGTTCTGATGTAACTGCTGTCATCATTAACTTCTTCAACAAATTTAGGTTCTCCCAGAACCTGATGATCGGAGGCCAGCGGGATATCATCACTGAGAGAAAGAGAACTCTGACTGCTATTGCAATTTTCTGCAATGAAAAACAAATACCAAGTCAGATAAACTTTTGAAACCTTGTTTACTTAACCATAGAGGCATAATACAATAACATTAGCACATAAACGGCAGTTAACATAAATTTGGTGCTGCTTTTACTGGTTCCAACTTTTCCATATAGGAATCAGTGCAATAGTTCTCCTCAAGAATTGTTGAGAAAAGTAAAGAGAATTGATTTGGACTTTGCCCCACGAGCATTGTCGATTGAGTCTCTTGAATGTGTCTTGATCCAAATAATAATGCTATGGTTCTATTGAAAACATTAAAATAAGGACCACAGTTCCCACTACATTAACTCAAGGATTATTCTCATGGTATTGGTACTTTTCTTATAAGACGGACAGTTTGAACTTAAAAAGTTGTATTAATAACCACAACATTAAATGATTAGGATTCTCTTATTGTACATAATATGTAACTGATAAAGTTTCAATCTAAAATATATCTAAATACCTATAATTATAACATAACATAACATGGACACAGACATCACCAGCATTATTGTTTTTATTTGGTAGAGTTTGACCACTGCACTTTAAGTTTATGATAATCAGAAAAGTGGTTACCTCCAATCTGAAGCTCATAGGCCTCTGCTTCCTCCTCTGCTGGGAATTGATCTACACTTGTATTATTGCTTCTAATGAGGTTGGGGTCTTTTTCGCTTGTAAAATCAATCCTGTTGTCATCTTCTTTGCTTCTTTCACTCTCCTTCTGCATAAATTGTAGACTAAGTTAAATTTCTTCAAAAATAAACTTACTTTACTTTCAAAACTAAATTAAGTGAAGAAGCCTAGTCTATGCGCGCACTTCTCGCTGGTCGTGCTTCTATATCCCCAATAAAATCTGGAAGAAAACACCCAGCATTTAAACAAGTTAGAAAGAAAGCTCACTGTTGTTTTAGCTGCTATAGGCTCACTGACTGGCTTTTTCCTCTTTATTAGATTTCTTTTCCGATTATTCGAAGTGTGGTTTACAGTTTGTTTTGTGTGAATTGAGATGTCATTATTAGTACTAATTCGCTGCTGGGGAATTTGATTCTTGGAAACATTTGATCCATTTTTGGGCTTTCTGACCTTCATGGCTGTCACCTTGGCTTGCTCTTGAGATCTTGACCCATTTTTAGGTTTCACAATCTCCTTCTCTGCTATTTTCCTGCCAGTGACCACAGCATTATTATTCTTATCAACTTTCTTGTTTACTGCTTCCTTTTTCTTAGGCTGCTGAGTTACAAGATCAGTAGAATTCATCTTGGTAGGAGCCTTTAGTTTAATTTTTGCTTCTTTTTCTTCTGGTTTCTCAGCTACCTTTTTGTCTTCCTTAGCTCCTTCTTCCTTGCTAAGCCTCTTGACTGGCTTCTCCTCTGCATTTGTTTTTTCGCTTGTTTTGCCAGGCTTCAAAGACCCCTCTTTCCGGTCAATTGTCTTGGAAGGAAGCTCCTCTCTTACTTTCAGTTTTCTTGGCATCATTTTTGAGGCTTGAACTCCATGCTCGGGAAACATTGGTGCAAAAGGCTCTTCTGATTCCAGGAATGGACCACGCAGAGGTTTAATAAGTACAATTGTTGAAGAATAGTCGGCGAACCTCTGCTGGGAATGAGAATCACTGGTATGATCTCGGTATGACTGAGACTCTTTGATAGAGTTGTCTTTCAGAAGTCCTGTAAAATGCTGGGTCTCAAGAATCTCCTTCAGTGTCTTTCGCTGTGGAGTTTTTCTCAGATCAACTGATCGAGGCCTCCTTACCATTGGCATATCAATTTCAAACATAGGTCTCTGGTGACTTGAAATCTTCTCATTCCTCAACTGTTTCTGGAGAGTTGTCTTTAATGGATTTGAGGGAATTTCTTCCAGCCCCATGAGCTTGGCAATCAAGTTTGGACCCTTTGTCTTCTTCTCTGGAGCTTTTGATGAAGAGGAGGAGTCAGTGGCACTATAGTAGTTGGTATGAGATATAGAAGACTGACTTGAGCTTGTGGAGGGCATTTCTGAAGCTGAGTCCAAGTTTCTTTGAACAAAGCCTCTATTTTCTTCAGTATTTGGCAATAGATTCTGCCTACTAAGGCCGTCTCTGATTGCTTCTCTTAGTTCCTCATAGCAATCCCTTGAAGATCCATCAACTGAATGCCGTGGCTTCCGAAATCCGATCTGATAATTTCGATCTCCAAACTGATAAGACCTCGACCGCTCAATCCCTCCTCCTTCCTCCTTCCTTACTCCTTTAGACTTGTCCTGTTTCTTCTTCAACCAAGCCATATACTGCGAAGCTTCTTGCAATTTGCCAAGCATCATTAGAGAGTCTTGCAAGTCAAGTGCTCCTTTCAAAAAATCTTTTGCAACATCTTTAGATTGTCTCTGATTGGTTTCCCCATTAGACCATGAATCAATCATGTGATTTAGCCTCTGAGCTCCTCTTGAGACCTCCAATAACTGAAAAGAAGATGGACTATGAAATCCTTCCGATATCTCTTTAGTTAACATCTCCTCCTCCTTCTTCTCGGTCTTAAATGGTAAAGATGCATCTGAAATCTTCTTTGCTTTTTGGCTTTTGATCTTATGCTCCATTTTCTGGGCACTACTTTTGGATTTTCTGAATGTCCCACATTCGACTACTCCTTTCGGATCATCACAAGTGACAAATGATCTGTAGACAACTGATCTCAGACTATCTTGATGCATATTCTGTGAAAGACCCAAAAAATAAAAATAAAATCTCATTTGACAAAGTCAGATGCTACTAATAATCTAAGCATCAAAGCCACCAGTAACAACAAATTTATCATATTATACTTACATGGACTAGGATATACCAACAAACTTCTTAATAAATTCGTCTGTAACTGACAAAAAACAATGCTTGTCCGGCTCTGTGAGAATAAAAATATTCAGTTGCCGCTATATTAAACAAAAGTAATTTCATACCAATATAACAGCAAGGCTTTATCTAATACAAGCAACCAAAATTATAGTTTATATGATTCTTAACTAACATAGGAATAGGAGTCTACATTTAACACCTAATTAGTGTCATCAGACTGTTGGCAACTTGGATTTAGGCACTGGTTTTGTAGCATCAAGGTCCTAATTAATGAACAAATTTCAATTCTCCCTTCTTTAACCCGGATTAAATATTTACAGAAGATTGTAAGACTGACTGTTCAGTCTGTACATCAAAACAAACATTTACGAATTGTTAAAGCAGAAATTATGTTAAAATTTCTTCAACTAACCCACTCAAAAGTAGCTTCTCTATGTCATTCACAACTTGCTCTATGTCATCCGAGCAAAGTTCATTCTTCCAACCAAAATCCCATATTCCACTCTCTACTCCTTTGCACTTTAAGTCGCTCTTTAGCATTGCATATATACTATCAGGAGGAAGGTCCTCTCCAGCAACTTTCCTGTAGTTTTTCAGAGCCTCAATCCCATCATAAACCTCCTCCAACAACTGATTTAAACAGATACTGATTCTTGAATTCCTCAACCAATTTAGAAACAGTGGATTGACCATTTTTGCATCTGGAAGGCTTCTACGTTCAATAAGTTCATTTGCACAGTCCATGGAGAGTGTCTCATTGGTAACAAAAAAATCATTGATAGCAGATGATAGTAAGGTTGTAGGTCTATTAACATGGAGATCAAAAAGCTCTTGTGCATGACTCACAAATGCTGGATTGCTTGAAAGCAATACTTCTAAATCGGTTCCAGATTTGAGGCTCCTACTCTCCGTTCTGATGTAACTGCTGTCATCATTAACTTCTTCAACAAATTTAGGTTCTCCCAGAACCTGATGATCGGAGGCCAGCGGGATATCATCACTGAGAGAAAGAGAACTCTGACTGCTATTGCAATTTTCTGCAATGAAAAACAAATACCAAGTCAGATAAACTTTTGAAACCTTGTTTACTTAACCATAGAGGCATAATACAATAACATTAGCACATAAACGGCAGTTAACATAAATTTGGTGCTGCTTTTACTGGTTCCAACTTTTCCATATAGGAATCAGTGCAATAGTTCTCCTCAAGAATTGTTGAGAAAAGTAAAGAGAATTGATTTGGACTTTGCCCCACGAGCATTGTCGATTGAGTCTCTTGAATGTGTCTTGATCCAAATAATAATGCTATGGTTCTATTGAAAACATTAAAATAAGGACCACAGTTCCCACTACATTAACTCAAGGATTATTCTCATGGTATTGGTACTTTTCTTATAAGACGGACAGTTTGAACTTAAAAGTTGTATTAATAACCACAACATTAAATGATTAGGATTCTCTTATTGTACATAATATGTAACTGATAAAGTATCGATCTAAAATATATCTAAATACCTATAATTATAACATAACATAACATGGACACAGACATCACCAGCATTATTGTTTTTATTTGGTAGAGTTTGACCACTGCACTTTAAGTTTATGATAATCAGAAAAGTGGTTACCTCCAATCTGAAGCTCATAGGCCTCTGCTTCCTCCTCTGCTGGGAATTGATCTACACTTGTATTATTGCTTCTAATGAGGTTGGAGTCTTTTTCGGTTGTAAAATCAATCCTGTTGTCATCTTCTTTGCTTCTTTCACTCTCCTTCTGCATAAATTGTAGACTAAGTTAAATTTCTTCAAAAATAAACTTACTTTACTTTCAAAACTAAATTAAGTGAAGAAGCCTAGTCTATGCGCGCACTTCTCGCTGGTCGTGCTTCTATATCCCCAATAAAATCTGGAAGAAAACACCCAGCATTTAAACAAGTTAGAAAGAAAGCTCACTGTTGTTTTAGCTGCTATAGGCTCACTGACTGGCTTTTTCCTCTTTATTAGATTTCTTTTCCGATTATTCGAAGTGTGGTTTACAGTTTGTTTTGTGTGAATTGAGATGTCATTATTAGTACTAATTCGCTGCTGGGGAATTTGATTCTTGGAAACATTTGATCCATTTTTGGGCTTTCTGACCTTCATGGCTGTCACCTTGGCTTGCTCTTGAGATCTTGACCCATTTTTAGGTTTCACAATCTCCTTCTCTGCTATTTTCCTGCCAGTGACCACAGCATTATTATTCTTATCAACTTTCTTGTTTACTGCTTCCTTTTTCTTAGGCTGCTGAGTTACAAGATCAGTAGAATTCATCTTGGTAGGAGCCTTTAGTTTAATTTTTGCTTCTTTTTCTTCTGGTTTCTCAGCTACCTTTTTGTCTTCCTTAGCTCCTTCTTCCTTGCTAAGCCTCTTGACTGGCTTCTCCTCTGCATTTGTTTTTTCGCTTGTTTTGCCAGGCTTCAAAGACCCCTCTTTCCGGTCAATTGTCTTGGAAGGAAGCTCCTCTCTTACTTTCAGTTTTCTTGGCATCATTTTTGAGGCTTGAACTCCATGCTCGGGAAACATTGGTGCAAAAGGCTCTTCTGATTCCAGGAATGGACCACGCAGAGGTTTAATAAGTACAATTGTTGAAGAATAGTCGGCGAACCTCTGCTGGGAATGAGAATCACTGGTATGATCTCGGTATGACTGAGACTCTTTGATAGAGTTGTCTTTCAGAAGTCCTGTAAAATGCTGGGTCTCAAGAATCTCCTTCAGTGTCTTTCGCTGTGGAGTTTTTCTCAGATCAACTGATCGAGGCCTCCTTACCATTGGCATATCAATTTCAAACATAGGTCTCTGGTGACTTGAAATCTTCTCATTCCTCAACTGTTTCTGGAGAGTTGTCTTTAATGGATTTGAGGGAATTTCTTCCAGCCCCATGAGCTTGGCAATCAAGTTTGGACCCTTTGTCTTCTTCTCTGGAGCTTTTGATGAAGAGGAGGAGTCAGTGGCACTATAGTAGTTGGTATGAGATATAGAAGACTGACTTGAGCTTGTGGAGGGCATTTCTGAAGCTGAGTCCAAGTTTCTTTGAACAAAGCCTCTATTTTCTTCAGTATTTGGCAATAGATTCTGCCTACTAAGGCCGTCTCTGATTGCTTCTCTTAGTTCCTCATAGCAATCCCTTGAAGATCCATCAACTGAATGCCGTGGCTTCCGAAATCCGATCTGATAATTTCGATCTCCAAACTGATAAGACCTCGACCGCTCAATCCCTCCTCCTTCCTCCTTCCTTACTCCTTTAGACTTGTCCTGTTTCTTCTTCAACCAAGCCATATACTGCGAAGCTTCTTGCAATTTGCCAAGCATCATTAGAGAGTCTTGCAAGTCAAGTGCTCCTTTCAAAAAATCTTTTGCAACATCTTTAGATTGTCTCTGATTGGTTTCCCCATTAGACCATGAATCAATCATGTGATTTAGCCTCTGAGCTCCTCTTGAGACCTCCAATAACTGAAAAGAAGATGGACTATGAAATCCTTCCGATATCTCTTTAGTTAACATCTCCTCCTCCTTCTTCTCGGTCTTAAATGGTAAAGATGCATCTGAAATCTTCTTTGCTTTTTGGCTTTTGATCTTATGCTCCATTTTCTGGGCACTACTTTTGGATTTTCTGAATGTCCCACATTCGACTACTCCTTTCGGATCATCACAAGTGACAAATGATCTGTAGACAACTGATCTCAGACTATCTTGATGCATATTCTGTGAAAGACCCAAAAAATAAAAATAAAATCTCATTTGACAAAGTCAGATGCTACTAATAATCTAAGCATCAAAGCCACCAGTAACAACAAATTTATCATATTATACTTACATGGACTAGGATATACCAACAAACTTCTTAATAAATTCGTCTGTAACTGACAAAAAACAATGCTTGTCCGGCTCTGTGAGAATAAAAATATTCAGTTGCCGCTATATTAAACAAAAGTAATTTCAATTAAAAAACGGAAAAAGATCATTCTCAATTGAATTTTTCAAAAATAAGCCACTTGGTAGTTCCAAAAGGGGAAGTCCAAGTTATCAGAAATTTCTCCTTCCAGCTGATCCTTAGAACCACTAATCAATCATGAACTGCTTCTCTCCATACTCTGTTGATATTTGGATGTGCAGAATTTGAGCAGAAAGACTAAACTTTCATATTTGAGAGCAAAAACACACTGAATTATAACAGTCAAAAGCATCATGAATATCATCAATTTTTATGACTATTTTTAGTTAATTGCACTCCATTTGCAAGCGTACAAGTATATTCAACAAATTAGAAGCAAAGATATCATCCCTAGTTTGTCCTAGGCAATACTCCCTTCACTACAGTCTATTCAAGACCGAAATCACAGAAACTAACAAGAACAAAAAGAAATAAAAAAAGGAAGCAAAACAAAATACCCAGATGAGAAATGCAGGTAAAACAGGAATAAAGCAACAACCATGAATGATGAAAGAACATCTTCTCACCTAAAGATTAGCTAGCTCAAGAGCACAGAGACAGATCCAATAAAAAAAAAAAAAAAAAAAAAACGAAACAAAAGTAGTAGTCTGTAGTCGGTGGCATTGACTTTGAGGTATAGTGAACAGTAGAGAAGGAGGTTTGATTTGGCTTTAAAGCATAGATTAGGCCTGTTTAAGAGACAAGAAGATCGATGACAGATTGTTTGATGTATGGTTTCGTGGGTACATTTTTTATTGTCTAACGCGTGGTGCACAGAGTTTGTTCTGAGAACAGAATCCTCAAATAATAAGTTAAACAAACAAGTTGGGAAATGGGAATCCGTTCAAAGGCACGACGAGGGAAGGTGTGATCACAGTTGAATGGCTGTTCTATAAAGAAATAACTACCACCTCTCATGGTAGTTTTAACATCATTACTTTTTACTATTTTCTTAACGACAATCGCGGATCCCCCCGCCCCCAGTTTTTCACTTACCCTTACGTCAACCTTTTTCCATTTCAAATCTAAAGATACTAACTGTAAATAGTAATACCTCTTATCCCTTGGGGAGTGTTTGGATAAATTTTCTGGGACAAATGTTGTGTCAAATCAAACATGGGAAAATTAACACTAATAGTATATTGTAATGAGGAAAATACAGAGTTATTTTACTACCTTACCTAATCCTTTCAAAGTATAACTAAATAAATGTTTGGGCACATCTGGCTGTCCTGTCACATCTTAAAAGAAAATTTTCCAAACTACTGTAAGTGAAAGTGTGAAACCAAGCTACATCAGTACATCTTTAAATGCAGTCACAGACTCACAGGATTCTTGCAATACTGTCTCTGTAAATTACAACTTTTTGTGTCTTATCATAAATGTAATTAGCAATTTTCTGGGTTATTTGTATAAATATTAATGTCATGGGTTATAATCTGAATTTCAAATTCTGTACTACTTTTCAAGTAAGCTAAGCTAATAAATGCATCAACAAGCTAAAGATCATTTGATGAAAATATTCTAACCATGCCCATGCTTGCCTAGGAGATTCAAAATTCAAACATTTTATAAGTAAATAACTTTTTTCCACCCAAATAATGATTTAATGACACTTCAAAGGCTTTTAAAATATCATTTTATAATCTAAATTTATATTTTTTTTCTGATTCTGACACCGTTACGACTCCATACCACCACTATTCTCTTCCCCGACCATCACTCATTAAAACCTCTCAAACTCTATTCCTGCTAACCCCATCAATCATCGGCAATCGATCGATTAGGGTTTATGCAATTGTCTCTCTCAAGTCAAATTCCAATCAATCACAACCACCAAAACTAACCTTCCACCACCAAAAGACTCATCAACTTTCCCTCTTCAAAAGCCTCAATAGTCTGGACCAAGTTTGTTTTCTGTTTGCTGTCAGAATATAAATTTAGATAGTAAGGTGATATTTTAAAAATCTGTGGATAAGAAAGTGTCATTAAGCCATTATTTGGGTGAGAAAAGCCGTTAACTCAACATTTTATATACACAAATTGCTTCTTAGATAAATATTTCCAAACAAAAAAAACCTTTCGGTTCTATAAAATGATTATAAATAAAAATAATTATTTATGTTTATATTGTGCGTATGTTTTGATATAATACAAGTAGAAGGGACTCGGAAGTTTCATATATGTTTAAATGATTAGAGACAAGAGGAGGTGTTTTGTTACTAAATGTTATACCTAAAAAATCAGGGCTAACGTAAGTTTACATCAGTAAACACCAATCAGATTTTATGAAGGCTTTGCGTCATCCAGGAGCTGTCATGTCGTCCCAAGACAGGAAGAATATGGCTGTCACCAACTTAGCAGATTCAGATTTTGTCTATGAGTTAATGAGAGCCGCACACTTGTCCAAGCCCCAGGTAATTTGAGGATATTTTTTAAGTTATAAGCCAATGGGATGCAAGGAATGACTTGCACGACACCTATCCATATGCAAGTTTATAATCATTATCTTGAATTCCTCTATTATAAATATAGGACTCCGCCTCTTATTTTCGGGATTATGATACTGAACCTATATTCTGATTGTAATATTTAACTTTCAGAGCAAAGATAATCCATGAAAAAGAGACCGACTTGATATTCTATCTGAATACTCAGTTATTGTACCTCTACTAGTTGTTTGCTATATGCCACTTCTTGTAATATCTCATATATAAAAGAACAGTGGACGTAAGATTTGCTTTAAACATCCGAATCACTTTAAAAATCGTCTTTTATTTACTATACAGTCTTTGCATTAGATTATCACAATCGTTCACGTGTAATTCATGAGAATAGCTTAATATTTTGTACATATGAGTCGCTGATATCAAAGTCACGCATTAATACTGAATAAAGTTGGTACAGAAACAATTGGTAAAATTGCATTAAGTTTTGAGTGTTTTATGATAAAGTGAAAGACTTGTATTTAATTATGGGATCATTCAAAATTTAACAGCTTTTCTTGATGGTTGGCCAAAATATGGAAAGGAGCGTAAGCAAGGGACTTTAGAGCTGCAAAGTGGTCGACAGCACGGGAAAGTAGTACAAGTAACTAGCAACAACAAATTTACTTGATATCCGGGATGGAAATGGAATCATGGAAGGCTCCAAATTAAACACCCGACCTGACGTCTAAATAGTAAATACAGCACGACGTGTCCGCGGTGGGATTATATAAGATAGATCCAACCCGGGCTAAGCCTGATGATTCTGGATTGGGCCTGAAACGGATTAAACTTCTGTAAAGTCTTTCGGATTTGAAATTTGATACATACCCACCGTTGACGTCCATTCCAGGTCTCCCCGTTAATTTAAGTTCATCCATATTAAACCGCCCTTTTGTTAATGAAAAAAACACCCCCAACTTTTTCTTTCCCTCCAAAAAACTGTACTGAATGGATTTAAATTCTTAGCTCTATCACTATGCAAGGGTGAATCTTACAATTTTTGGGGCAATTTGATTATGTTTTCATTTCGCGCTCTTATAAATTGTGCAGATGCCGCTCACTTATCAAATTCATTTTTTTCCTTTAAAAAAAAAAAAAAAAAAAAAATGCTGAATTAAAGAGTTAATGGGAAAACACTTTCCAAGCGTTCTTTTCTCTTCTACAAGAATGGGCACAGTCGCATAGAAGACATGAATAATAAATTGTATTACGCAGTTTTTTCTTCTTTCTTACAACAATCCATCGAAGGAAAAATCCATAACCCAACGTTTGGACCTATTTTTTATTTTTTATTTTTTTTTATCCTGCAATGGAGCATGGTGTTCTAGAACCCCCAAAGGAAATGGAAAGATTTGAATGCAAGTTCAGTACTTGCTGAGGTGGAAGAAGCTTCATGCAGATCTACCTGTGGCATCAGAAAGCAATACGGGGATTGGAAAATACTATCAGTCACCGGAGTCAACTTGCCTTAGTCTTTACTTTAGCCAAAATGCACACGTGGAGGTAATCCAAATGTCCAGCAATAAAAAATAGGAGAGTCGTGTTAGAAGATAAATGTCAGAAATTACGGTCCTAACCAAATTCAGATGCGTAATTTAAAACCTGAGTCACCATTATAATGATTATGTCATAGAATAACCAAAGTTGCTAGCGTAACAGCAAGTTGCACGTGCCTGTCAGCTGTGACCGTCACGCAGCCACGCTATGCAGGCTAGTTCCCAACTCCCATCTGTGAGATTAACAAATTTTACACAAACAAATTAATTAAATTCAATAGGCATCGCCATCGGCTCATCGCATAACTTGACATTATAGATTCAAGAGAGAGAAATTTGGATTGGAGTGAATTGGATTGGGTTGTTGAGCTGGCTATTCAATCAAAGATAACTCGCTTTTTCCTTAGACTTTTCATTGTTTTCATTTACTGGAATCCCAGGTTGCTCCACCAATTGTTTATGCTGGTAATTTCATTTATCCTTATACATCAGATTTTGATCATACGATAAGATTTTCATTATAAATTTTGGTGTTTTTGATCATTTTGATTAGGCTATCAATAAGCTGGAATTAAGAGGGCCCGAGTGTTTGGTGAGTCTGGAGTGCCTTCTGAACATAGTCAGGGCCCTGGGGATGGGATCATGCTTGTCATGGGATGGATCAAGCGCTGTATCTTACACTACAGCCCCGTCTTCGCCGTCTTCTTCTTCTTCTCTGAAGAGAAACAACTCAAGGAAGATTAAGAGAAACTCTTCATTGGAGATTTGGTTGCATAGAATTCCCGGTAGGATTTTCTTGAACGGCTCCACCGATAATGCCTCTTTGTTTACTAGGCAAGGCAAGAAAGGGATCAACCAGGATGCTATGATTTTTTGGGAGGTTAATATTATTCTTTTTATTTTTTACTCTATCCTTTTTATATAACATTATTATATTCTTTATCCATCGCTTTTTAATGAGTTCGATATATACATGTATAATCATCCCAACAAGATTGTTAAACTGTGATAGAGTTTTGTTTTTCAAGTTTCATATTGTTTTAATCTATATCATGAAATTTTCCTGTCAGATTGAATCATTAAGGGACCGTTTGGGAGTGCTTTTTATGGGAAAAAAGTGCACTTGAGAAGCACTTTGTGAAAAAGCAACTATCTATTATGATTCTGTTGGTGATCATTTTTTGTTTGAGGTCCTTCCTGCTCATTTGCTTTTAATGTATGTGAAAATCTATGGGCTATTTTCTATGATACTTTTATTCTAAAAGTTTTCCTGCATTCATATTTAGTGCTTATAAATCCTTTGATAGGGATGAATAAGAATGATTTTTCGTCAATCCACAATCATACTTATATATATATATAATCCTACTACCCGTATATGTTAAAATGGTTGTCCATGGATCATTATCAATATTTTCTTGTCTTTCTTTTTCAGTTGACATAACAGCTTCCTTTGTAATTTTCAGGAATCCAAATTTCTTTTAAATTTCAATCTACAAACAACCCAATTAGAGCACCTCTACCTGATCCAATTGATTCCTTAATTAACTGGTGCAAATGCTGTGAATAAAGTTTGTTTAGTTTAGTCCTTATAAATAACTGACAATCTATCTAATTAGTGAAATATATAATAATTTTTTTCCTTCATAACTTACCATTTTCTCCTACGTGGTACTTCTATTTATCAATTTTAATGTAATTGTTACTCTTTTCTACATTTATCACTTAAATTCCATTATTATATCTGAGGTAGGCGTTTTTTGTTTTTCCAGAATTTCGGTTCAATGGCAGACACTATCTTTTGTGGTGTTTTTGATGGCCATGGTCCCTGCGGCCATATGGTTGCAAAGAAAGTGAGGGATTCTCTTCCGTTAAAATTGAGTGCCCAGTGGCAATTAAATAATAACAGCACGAATCTGATGAATCATAACAGCAGCACGAATCTGATGAATCATAACAGCAGCAGTGGCGTAGGAAGTATAAAATCAGAAGACTCATTCTTGTCAGTCAAGGAACCTAGGACATTTATGGATAATAAGCATAATCAAAATCAGACTGATTTTTTCATAACACTGAAAGAGGCATTTTTGAACGCTTTTAAATTGATGGACAAGGAACTTAAACATAATCAGTATCTTGATTGCTTTTGCAGTGGGACAACAGCAGTAACCTTAGTCATGCAGGTATCTAGCTATATATTTGAATGATTTTTTGTCTCGATTACTGATGGTTACTTAATCCTTTGTTTAACTTTTAATCTTTGATCATAGGGCCGCCATCTTGTTATTGGAAATGTCGGGGACTCTAGAGCTGTGCTGAGTACGCGAGATAAGGATAATTCTCGCATTGCAGTTCAGTTGACTGTGGACCAGAAACCAAATCTTCCAAGTATGTATCTCTGTCTTGGGTCCTTGCCATAATTGTGTGATGGAAACTTTTCATCTCTATCATGTCTCTTAAATACATATATGTCTTTCATAGAACATGGTGTTTGATAGTACTACACTATCAAGATCCTTCCAGATTGAATTGGTACTTTGATTGATTAAGGTTCTATTAATTTTCTTCAATATCTTGAAAGGGAAATTTGTTTAATAAAATTGTGTAAAATTTTGGAAGTTATATTAGTTCATCCACTGTTAAAAAAATTCATAAATTTATATTTTGAAGTACTCTTCATGTGTACTTGCTTCTACATTTGCAGTAATGTATAATTTGTTGAAGATGATATGAGAATGTACAGTCATGGATATGCATGTGTACTATGAATGATAAACTTTTTAAGTAAATTGATTATGATATTTATTCTCTGAAGTTGAAATGACATTATAATTGATAAATTAACCTTTTCCCTCATTTTTTTTTTCATATAGAGGAAGCTAAAAGAATCAGGTTATGCAAAGGACGAGTTTTTGCTCTCCAGAATGAACCTGAGGTTTCTCGAGTTTGGCTGCCTAACAGTGACTCTCCTGGCCTTGCCATGGCCAGAGCATTTGGAGATTTTTGCCTTAAAGATTTTGGTCTGATTTCTGTCCCTGAGATTTCGTATCTTCACCTCACTGAGAAGGATGAATTTATAGTATTGGCTACAGATGGGGTATGATATCAACTACAAACCCTGAAATATATACATTCATATACTTTTCTATTTTTTTTTTTTATATGATTGCTAGGATCTTCATTTTTTCTGTTTTTCAAAAATGGCTGCATATCATCACCGTATTGTTTGCTGAGTGGAATTGATTTCAAAGAAGTGCAATACTACTTAGAGACTGTAGATGTTAAAGAGACCTATTTTTGCACTTATTTTCTTTTGTTCTTAGTTGAATAAAAAATTTCACACAACTTTATAAAGTCATTCAGAGAAATTGAGTAGAAAAATAAAGCTTTCTTTTATTATTTTTTTTTAAATTTTAAGACTGACATTATATTCAGTCTTTACAAATTTTAGGTTCTCTGTTGTTACACAGTTCTCTAACATTAATTTCTTCTTAATCTTAGTCTTACATTGTGGTGCCTTCATCACATTGTCTACTGTTTTCATTTTTATTTGCCTGTTGTCTTTCAAATAATTTGATTCAAAATATAAGCTCAATACATAGGTTATACCACAATACAAATAATAATCATATGTATGAATCTTGAGCATATTACGTATTAGTAGAAGATACATCTCTTAATTGTCTGTTTTCTTCTCTAAATTGGTAGGTCTGGGATGTTCTCTCAAACAAACAAGTAGTAGATATAGTAGCATCAGCCCCTCGGTCTAGTGCAGCTCAAATTCTGGTAGAATCAGCTGTACAAGCTTGGCGATACAAGTACCCAACATCGAAGGTTGATGACTGTGCTGTAGTTTGCCTATTCCTTAGTTCAAGCTCAGACAGTTGCTCCACTTCTTTCTTCCATATTGAGGATAAGCCATCAATGTCATAGGAACTGTTTAATGTTGTTCTAAAGCAGTTTGATTGGACCATTCTAGAGATTCTAGAATTCACCTGAAAATTTGCGATGAAGTTGGGGTGATACTTTGTGGGGATATGGAGTAGGAGTGTCTTGCTTTCTAAAAGTTGTATATTGAATACACCTCTGGCTCTTATGGTCCTTGGTTATTGAATGGATAGGTTTGGAGATGCTAGGTTTCAAAAATGGAGGGCTAAGAGTCATTAGTTTGAGGTTGCCTTTTATTTAGTCCATATTTATTTCGGTTTCATACAACATTTATTGTTTTTGTTCCTTTAGAAAGTGGGAAATTCCAGATATTATCGGAATTCCCTTTGTTTTTATTTGGATAGGGAGGTGAGCATGGCCTGTTAATCTGTGGTTTTTTTTTTTTTTTTTTTTTAAGCGGTTGGTGGATTCGGTGTTTTTGTGAATCCACAGAAGTAGATGGTTTTGTACATTATGGTGGTGGATGTCTCCTACTCTAGTTACTATGTGTGAGAGATCCTGGGCATTATCTCCTCTGAATTGTAGTAAATTGAGGGCCTTACTATGTGTGTGAGATCCTGGACATTATCTCCTCTGGATTGTAGTAAATTGAGGGCCTCTTATTTTCATTCCTGGGAACTTGTTTAATTTGATTCTGTACCTATATTCATCAATTCATTCATTATTTGTGTTATCCTTTTTGTTCTTTCTTCATGAATGGGAAATGTGAGCCATATTAATGAATCGATTTTTTCTAAATTATTTGGGGGCTGATAAGAGCTGTTAAAGAGAATCTTATTGGTGTCACTTTTGAATAGCTATGGACTTTGCCGTTTAGAAAAATTATTTTAAAAGAAGTGTCTTATAAAATTAAAAAAAAAAAACAAAACAAAACAAAAGGTTTGATGTTAGGTTTTTGGAATTTTTTTTTTTTTTTTTAATTTACAAATCTGCCAGCTGTTTTATCAAGGTATCCTTGGATTTGGTCCTTGATTTTGATTGAATACACATTAACATAATTAATGTGAGAGTGTTGAGTAGTCAGTTTAAGAATTAAACACAAGGTTTTATTTACTCAACTCAAAACAGTTCCAGTTAAAGTTAAGCTTCCCCAGCTCTAAAATCAGTAGTCATTCTTCAGCATTTATACACGGAGATGGGCATTACATGTTTGCCATATTTACTACTCATTGACCACCGCACACAAGTTCACCCCATGATGCCACAAATTAAGGCAGTAGTTATTTTTAATTTAATTCTGGTTATGTTTGTGTAATCTTAAAGGGGTAGGGCGGCAGGGAAATGAAAGAAGTTAAAAGTTAGGTATGGATGTTTGCTTTCCCGGGCTTTTTGCCAGCCTCACCTCCCATCCATTCATTCTTTAAAACTAACTCATTACAACAAAACTGAAATTTTATTTTTATGATTATCCCGTAATTATTCTTTAAAGTTTGTACGATTTATTTATTAAAACATGGCCCCCACGTTCTCCTGCACCTAAAAATGGAAACTGAACTAACCGCTTGAGCTTTTTCTTTTCGTCAACTCGGTAGGAATCTGAACCCCCCACCCCCCCCTCCTCTTTTCTTTTCTTTTCTTTTCTTTTCTTTTGCGTCTCTACCTTCTTATTAAGAAGAAGGGGTCCTCCTCTGTCTTCTCTTTGTCCAAACAACAACATTTATAGATTGTTGTAACCAAGCAAAGAGCAAGGAGAGAAAAGGGTTTTCTTCTACTTTTTATAGCCTTCTCGTCTTGTGTCATGTCCATTTTTTCCTTGTTTACTCGTTAAATAAAGAAGAAATTTTTAGAAAAACAAACGTAACTGAAAAATTATAATGGTTAGAGCATTAGATCGTGGGCACAGCATTCAGAAATCTATATCTTTTCACTCAAAAAAAATGTCTCCTCGTAAACAAACACGAAGCATGGTCTTTGATAATGGAAGCGACAGTGGAGGAAATGTTGATGATAATGAAAGCCAAAGGCCATCATCATTAACGAGAGAACGAACATTAGACAGGGGACTTGCACTTACTCGTGAAAGAGGTACCCTTTCGCGCTTGGAATCTATTACTTTCACGGTTCCGGCAGCTAGTAGTCCCGTAGAAAAGCAACCGCAACCGCAACCGCAACCGCAACTGCAACTGCACCCTTCAGGTTTGTTTAAATTCATTAATTAACTGCAACGCTAAACTTGTTATTATCATCTTTTTCAATGGATATTTTTAATTTGTAATTTTGTTATTTGGTGCAGATATGGAACTGATGAAGGAAAAATTTGCTAAGCTGCTTTTAGGTGAAGATATGTCAGGTGGTGGAAAGGGTGTATCCTCAGCTTTGGCTTTGTCAAATGCCGTTACAAATCTTGCTGGTATTTTAATGTATTATTGTTGTCAATTTGATATATGATAACTATAGTATTCTTTTCCTTTTTTTGGCTTGAAAATCAAGAAATTCTCATTCATGTTTTGATATAATAATGCATTGCAGCATCGATTTTTGGTGAACAACGGAAATTAGAGCCTATGGCTCCGGAAAGAAAATCAAGGTGGAGAAAAGAAATAAATTGGCTTTTATCTGTAACTGATCACATAGTTGAATTTGTTCCTTCACAACAGAAATCCAAAGATGGAGTAAATATGGAGGTGATAAAAATTTCTCTCTTTTCACTTTTCTCCTGCATATATTTTGTTACCGTAACTTTAATATATTATCCTGATTTGATAGATAATGGTGACGAAACAAAGAAACGATCTGCATATGGACATCCCTGCCCTGCGCAAGCTCGATGCCATGCTTATTGTGAGTTATCTGAGAATGTGCAACAGAGAGATTAGAATTTGTGTTCTATGAGACTAGTTTACAATTTGAAAGCTGATTAAATCAACATGAACAGGACTGCCTAGATTGCTTTGGAGACAAAAATGAATTCTGGTATCCGTCTGGAGATGAGGACTCAGGAAGAGGGAGCACACCAAGGAACGATGACAAATGGTGGATTCCAATTGTTAAGGTTCCAACAAATGGGCTGTCAGATGCGGCACGAAAATTGATGCACTCTCAGAAGGAATCTGTGAATCAAGTTCTCAAGGCAGCCATGGCCATAAATGCTCAAGTACTATCAGAAATGGAGATCCCTGAAAGCTACATCGAATCACTCCCCAAGGTATAAAAATAGTTTTAAAGATTCTCCGTTACATCTTTTGTATAGTCGCGACTGATCTTGTATAAATTGTTTTGGCAGAATGGAAGATCAAGCCTTGGGGATTCAATTTACAAGAGCATAACTGTAGAGCTTTTCGACCCGGAACAGCTCCTCTCGACCATGGACTTGTCAACAGAACACTTGGTGCTTGATCTGAAGAACAGAATTGAAGCCTCAATTGTGATTTGGAAGAGGAAAATGCACCATAGTAAGGACAGTAAGTCTTCCTGGGGTTCAGCTGTGAGCTTGGAGAAAAGAGAACTCTTCGAGGAGAGAGCAGAAACTATCTTACTCTTACTCAAACAGCGATTCCCAGGCAGTCCACAATCTGCCCTTGACATAAGTAAAATCCAATATAACAGGGTAAGAACAACACCGAAACTAATCATGTTTCAAATAATTATACAATTCTAATATATTTTTTCACAGGATGTCGGACAGGCAATTTTGGAGAGCTATTCAAGAGTAATAGAAAGTTTGGCCTTCACAGTAATATCTAGGATTGAAGATGTACTATATGCTGATTCGTACGCTCAAACTTCACCACTATCAGAATCCAACGAGGTTCCTGCAATGGAGTCTCCAGGATCATCAATAAATAACCCAGGTGAAGAGTGGGACAAAACTTGTCCAGAGACTCCAAATTCAAAGACTCTCTCAGATTTTATGGGTTGGGAGGAGGAGCAAATAGCAGAGGCAGAGACAGGGACAGGGACAGGGGCATACTTAGAAAAGACAATCTCAACAGGGAATATAGAGGGTTATTACGCAGTTGATAACGAGATGATGACGTCGAAACCTCCTCCCACTGTTGTGACCCCAAAGAAGTATTCATACTTAGAGAAGCTTGAGAACTTAAGCGGCCTAAGAAGTCCTGCAGCTCGTCATTGACATTAAAAATAATAAAAATAAGTGTAGAACAAAGGAGACTTGGAAGAAGGAAAGGAGATATGAAGAATATATAGGGCCAATGTATAGGGAACTTATTGCAAATTGTAGATATTAACACCCCTTCTAGGATTCACTTGACAGTTCGTCCTTCCACTCAGGACAGGGAAGTCTTTGACTATGTGTAATAACTATTGGATGCCAAAATTTTGGAATGTTAAATTCTCTGCGCTTCTTTAATTGTAACTATTTTAGTATATTACTGTCTCTTTTGAGTGCTCTGAGCAGTGAACACCAACCAGGCTTGTCGTGGCTTTATGATTTCTTCCATAAGAGTAAGAAACAAAAAAAAGAAACCCACAAATTCAGCTGTAGCATTGTTTGTGTCTGTAACTTTGTAGCTTTCTTACAGAGCATCAAGGAACGTAGGCAACTGGGGCCGCGCACCCCTTAATAAGGCAAAGGAGCATATCAAAACCTAAAATGTGTTTCAAGGTTCTGATTCTGGAGAACTGATAAACCTTATTAAACAGATACAAATAATACTGACATGATCATTATATTTCAATGTAGTGTTGGGTTGCAGAGCATTAGGGATGGGCGCGGGCCGGGGACCCCATGGCCTGGCCTCATCCCTACGGGCGGGGATTTTTCTCAAGACCATCCCCAGCCCGCGGGGACAAAATCTCCCTCATCCCCATCCCGGCCCGATGAACGGGGCTTTGCAAAGAATTTATCCCCCGAACGGGGATTTTTGTCCCGTGTAAATCAAAACTTTTCGTAATAATAATATTTAATTGTGAAAAATTAGCACGTTGATAGGTATTATATTTGACTATTTAATTTCAGTAGTTAATTTATTAAAAATACATAATTTAAGGTAAGAAAATATAAAGTCAATAATTTCTTGTAAAATTCAAATTAAAATTTGAAAAGTAATACATAAACTAAAGTCTATCTACACTACAACTAATAAAATTAGCCAATTTGTGAAAGGGACAAATCCCATTATTAAATTAAGTTTAACATCATATTTAATTGATTAACTAATATATTATAAGGATAATTGAACTTATGTAATTTATAAGTTGTTAAGTAATTGTATATATTCTTATATTGGTTTATAAATTATAATAATCTAATTAAATTTATTTTTGGGCCATGTCCCATGTATTATTATTTTGTAAAAACAAAGTAATAATACATATATTTAATTATTAGACTCCCTCGTTTAAATTATTTTTCTATAAATTTAATATAAACATTAAAAAATATTATAAAAGTAAATATCATAAATTTAGATACATTATTTAAAATCATAATTTAAACTCTAACTTTATATACAATCTCATAAAGGAAAAAAATAAAAAAAACATAAAATTCTAAAAAAGCCGGGGCTCTATGGGGTCGTGGATTGCACTATCCCCCTTTCCCGACCCGTCTCCGAATGCGGGGATTTCACTGAGGATCATTCCCATTTTTTTGGGGGATTCCCCAACCCATTCAGGCCGGTTCAGGATGGATCCCTGCTGGATCGGGGCAAATGCCCATCTCTACAGAGCATATATGCCACAGAGTACTGGCTTGATTAAGATATCCAAGAAAAATACGTCCCTCCATCCCATTTTTTACAGTAACTCGTAACTAAACTCGCAGCCATAAAAAATATTGGAAGCAAATAAATCAAGTAATATATCATTTCTCCCTTTTTCCTCTGTTTTGGCAAGCACATTACATCTATCAGATAGATGCAATTGAAAAATGCAAAAATGAATTGCATCTTTCAATTTTATTCAACTTAAAAAATAAACTTGTTGAGTTTGGTAGGATAAGTTCAGGATGCAACACCAAAAATGATTTAATTTTTTAAACTGTGTCCAATTTGAGATTTTTATTCACATGTTCCTACACCCGATGATTAGCAAGCCAAAGGGAAGAGCAAGCCAAAAATCCTTAACTGCCTAAATCTCGGTCTAGCCCATTCGGGTTACAGCAGAATGAATAGCATCTGCAAGATGAGGAACTGTCTTTGAACTAAGACCTGCCATGCTAATCCTCCTGCAAACAAGAAAGTGAAATATTTTAGCCTAGTAGAGTAGTATTAGTCAAAGAAATACTACTTTTGGGAACCATAAATGAGTTCTACATTTCATAGATTGATAAATGCAACCATTCAGTTCTTAAAAGATAGAAATTAATAATCCAAAACTAATGGCCCACATGTTTTACGATTGTCATATTTATCAACACCTTCTTGAGTTAAAAAATGTAAGCAAAATAAATGAGGTTCAGGGAAACGGAAAGGCATGAATGGATCAGAAAAGGGAGAGATATTAGAAAGGATAATTTTGGGATTGACAGCAGAGAGGTTATGTACAAATCCAGTACTTGTGTGTTAAATAGAGTTTCTGCTAGAACTCGATCCTTCTCAGCTTCAGTGTCACAGCAATTGATTCAAAAATCAAACAGAAACAGTTCTTGGATAGCAGTAAAAAATTTCTCTTGGTGCTAAAAAAACATTTACCAAGATAGTCTGTCGAATCAAATGGTGGAAAGGAGGACAAAATGAGTGCTAAAAATGAAACATGCAAAATAAAACATTATGAAAGCAAATTCCTGCCCAGAATAACTCTGCAATAAAATTTAAAAAGAAAAAAAAAAAACTTAAGAAAATAAGAAATTCAACCCTCCCTACACCCCTCCCCCATTTTCTTAAATAAACACAAGCCTTATTTAGAAATAATCATTGGGGAAAGATCTTGTTACCCATCAGATGTCATATAGATGTGATACTCCTTGGTCATAAAGGCAACTTGTTCACCGTTCAGCCCTGTGAAAGTAAACATTCCTATTTGCTTGATAATGTGACTCCAGTCACCTGGAGTGCCTGTCAAATAGGAAATTGAAATGTATTTAGACAATATTAAAGGAAAAGAGCATATATAACATCTTCGTAATCACACATGCATGCACACAGAAGCAGAGGAAGATGAAGATGAATTAAAACATGATGATAAAAGTAACAGTGTTTTTAAAGCAAATTCAAATGCACTGCAAAGGTTAAAAAAAGTTGGTGAACAACTCTATTTACTACATAAACAGTGTCAGCCTAATCAACATGACCATAAAAGCCATATCCCTAGTTTGCGTCCAAGTAAACGGTGTTCAGCCAAGCTATTAGCAGTCAAAAAACCAAGGATCTTACATTGTGGCTGAAGCAAAGTTGCCACCAAAGCAGAAATAAAATAGGAAAATGCTTTGGTAATACATTGACCTTTGCAAATAATCTTAAAGAAAGAGCTCACCAGATCCCAAATTGCTGAAATTAAGACTTTATAGAATAGTCATATAACATATATGGGCTTAACTAAAATTACAAGCTTGATTTTGGATGCCAAAACCAAGACTTAAGCAGGGATTAGTAGAAAACCTCGAGCAGATAAAGCATCAAAAAGCTGCTTCCGCATGCTTATAATCCGATCAGCCATTGCTTTTAGTTCAACAGTCCACTCATCATACATCTTGCTGAAAGAAAGGACAATTTCAAGAGCAAAAATTAGAGATGCAGCTCAAAATGAATAAACTTCATCTGAAAATGATAAATGTATTACTCCTAAAGTCAAAATAGAGAGCTCCTACAAATAAACTTCTAAAATGCATCAATGTTCTCAAACACATAGTAAATAAATTTTCTCAGACATAAGCTGTCAAAAAAGTCAGCAACTAAACTAATACACACCAGTGTGTGTTATTCACTTTATACTTACAGATCCCTTTCATTTAATAAAATTTTCTCCTTTTACTTCAACTCTTTCATCAAGAAAAATCCTTCTATTTGTTCATTTTTGTGTCATGACAATTATCAAATTTATAAATCTCTATCAAGTACTTAAGTTTCTAAATATGAGTTGGCTTAGTCAAACTGCTAAAAATAATCACCTGTCCTTAAGAATTGTAGCCACAATAGATGCACCATGAATAGGGGGATTAGAATACATGGGCCTAATCACAAGTTTTAACTGGCTCTCAACCTTGCTCGCCACATCTGCTGTCTTGCAGACCTGTAGAATAAATTTATTAAAAATTTGCACTCAAGGAAAGTGCTTCACATCAAAAGTCAGTTTGCATATAAATATTGACAAAAATTATAGCAAAAAACACATCCACTTAGTTTTTCTCTGATTAGCCACTCCTGACAAAATCGTCAACCTCTTTGCTAGATCCTGCAATATTAATAATCACCTCCTTCGATGCTGTGATACCAGCATCAGTCTCCCCCAAAGGTTGTAAGATCCATTTAATAAAAAGAAAAGAAAAAAAAAAAAAAAAACTGTGTGCCTCAATATGAAGTCAGTTCTTTTCAAAAGCCCTTATATATGAAGGTAAAGTTTCTACTTCAATACAAGTTGCAGGCAGCAAATCCAAACAAGATGTAGTGGCATTTTGGAAACCTGAAGGAAGATCGTCATAACTTTGAAAAGAGAAACATGGATGTATATCATGATTATTATTCCTCTGAGAGTTAAATACTGGGATTCAAACGAAAGTTAAATATTTACTAGTTAATGGTAAAAGAAATATATTCTTTAAGTTTTAGAAGTTTAGTGTCATACAATGCTGAGAGCGCCAACACGTTCTCCATAGAGTCCCATGTTTTTGGCATAACTTTGAGCTGCAAGGCATTCACCACCATCTGCAACAAACATGCGCACAGGTTGTGCATCTGCATCTAGACTACCACTTGCAAAACCCTGGAATAGCAAAACTCATATATTGGTCATCCATTGTACAATTGTGACTTAATAAGTTAAGGTTGATCAAACCAAGCATAGTTCCTATATTCACAAACCAAAATGTTTTCAATTTGGCCTCAAGTTATCCACCATACAACAAGTGCCACTACCTGATAAGCACTGTCGAAGAAAGGTAACAGCCCTTTTGATCTCATCAGCTGCCTAATCTGCTCCCACTGCTCAAGCGTTGGGTCAACACCAGTTGGGTTATGAGCACATGCATGAAGAAGCACTATAGCTCCTGATGTTGCAGCACCAAGATCCTCCAGCAAGCCTGTTAACCATAAATATATCAAAAACTTCCTTTTTTTCTCAGAATATAACACAGAGAGTCAATTTTGGCTCAAACACGAAGAGTGAGACATGAAAACTCCAAAAATCAAGACATAGAACATGGCTATACATATTTATATGTTTGTAATCTTTATCATACTAAACATGTACAGTAACTACGATCAATGCTTTTTTGCTAGTAGAAGAGCCGTGGAAAGTACAGCAATTATCAAACTTACAAGCATGTGAATGGTTCTAAACAGATTTTGTACAGGACCCTCAAAGTGTTATATATATTTTAGGTAAATGAAGGTACAATCCATGGGGTATTAGCACAAGTGAACTTGAAGAAGCGCCTTAAGTATCCAAAAAGCAATTTTTTTGTATTAGAGGTGTCCTATCAATCATATGACCTGCATTTAGGCACAGCCAACATTAAATTTATTGGTACTAGCCCAGTACTATAACACATGAAAGCATAGCTGCCAATAAATGATGAGGACCTTTATGATCAGAATGCAAAGTTGAAAATATGCCTTATTTGAAGTAAATAGCTACAGTAGTAAAGATAACGAATTTAAGATAATTACCAAATATATTTCAACCTATATAACTCTATAGGCGTAACAACACTACAGAGATTCAATGACAGTGTGTAAAGACATTTAGAAGCAAATAATAGGTCAAAAAGATGTAATGTTGACACTTGGCTCAAACCTTGGAAGTTTAGCCCTCGTGTTGCAGGATCATAGTAGCGGTAAGTCTTCACTGACAATCCTGCTAAAGTAAAAACTTTTGGATGATTTCCCCATGTTGGCTGTGGAATGTATATAGTGAGCTGGGAAATCAAGGTAGCAAGGCAGGCAAGCAAGTCAGCTATGGTTGTGCATCAGATGATAATTACAAAAGTAAAAGAGAAAAGAAAACAGTTGGATCTTTACTTGGTGATAATGCCTTGCCAGAAACTCAGCCCCAACCCTCAGAGAACCAGTACCAGACAAGCACTGAACGGTGGCCACTCTGTTCGCCTGAATCGCAGGGCTGTGTAACACACAATGAAAAATCATGGTAAGGTTTTGGAATATGTAAGATATACAAAATAATCCGGCATGCACTACATGCACCATATAAACACAATTCATAAAGCAGATATCATGTCCCTGCATTGATTTTGTATCCTCTCAAATAACTGTATCTATATACAACAAAATATAACATCCCTATTCCTATTCATATATTGTCCTAACCACTATACCGTGAAGCCAACTATGTAACAAAGTTTTGATTACCTGTCAGCACCAAAAATGAGCTTTGCACTCAATTTATTAAAATCTGCAAGTCCAACAATGGGAAGATACTCTTTGACCCGTGACCTGAAAGACACATTGACCAAACATCAATTATCACCGAGATCATGACAAAATACAAATAGTAAAAAAATATTCAGTTGCTCACTGGTCATTCACTAAGAGCTGCTCCGCTCGTCTCACCACATCTAAAACCAGAGGTTTCCCTTCCTGTTATACAATGTACAAGTCAATACAAAATATATCAAGTGTCGACTGCAACATGATACATTGTGCTTAAGCAATTACAAAGTATTCCAATTCGTTAGCATCAGTAATCATAAATTATTTAGCAAAAAAAAAAAAAAAAACCTAATTTACCTCAGTTCGGTAAGCTCCTACACCCAAATTCAACTTATTGGGGCTGGGATCCTTGTTATAGGCAACAGTGACCTATTTATTCAAACAAAAACCATAAAATTAGACAGAATGCTCAACAACAACTAATTTCCAAAACAATCAAATTTGCCACCATTTGGTTCGTCTTTCTATCTCAAGAAAAGTAATTTATTTTTTTCATTTCTTGCAAATAATTTCCTTTCCGCGAGAAAATAAGTTGATTATGAACTTTTTGTCTTCTGCAGGTATATATTAATTGATTTCGGAACCAACTAAATGGAAAAATAAAAATGAAAAACTCAGCTAATATACTTAGAACGTCAAAATAATACAACAAGGTCATCAAAACCAGGAATCAGTAAGCAGGTCTCAAAGTTGATAAAGCGTATAAAATCGTCGATATTTCTCAAACCAAACATGTTAAATTTGATCAGAATAGTAGTAGTATATACCAGATCACATACACGAGGTCCGATCATGAAGGTATAAACGCACTGAACAATCAGAAAATAAAATGATCACAGTAAAAATGAAGAAGAGGAAAACATACGCCGAGAATAGGATCTTCAGGAGCTTGAACAAGACTTGCAAAGACTGAACCGGAATCCATGAATATAGAAGGTGATGAGTTTTGATTGCAAGATGAATGTGTTTATGGTTTGGCTCTTGTTTGATTTATAGTGTGGTTTTGTTGGTTTAACAGTAGGCGGTTACATTACAGTGGGCGCATTTTACGACTTTTTAGGTAGAAGATGTGTATATATTGGGCCACGTGGGTGCTGACGCGGCGGCAAGTATCAGCTCCTCTTTAGTCTTTTGCTGTGACGGCCAGTGGTAACTGGTAAGCCTTGAAAGAGAGTTTGCACGTGAGCCCTACTAGTAGCACTTCATCTTTTCTGGGACGATAAGTCGTGCTTTTCTCTGTTTCTTGAACGGGATGTCGTTCAACACAGCAGGAACACTGCTCAATCCTACAAAAGGAGACGAGATGTCGCCTTCCTTTGGGTATAAATGTTAGGAGATTGCCGCACTGGAAAACGTATATTTGAAATGAATAATATAAAGACTAAAATCACCCCATATAAAGATACAAGATATTGAGGTGGTTTGGTATAATTTCCCAATATCTACTTATGAGAAAAATTCATTATAATTTTATGAACACGATATATATAAGAATATACAACACCATAAACCTTGCATAAAACAGAGCTACAACAATTTTAGTTTCTAACACGTTCAACTCAGTATCTAGAGCGGAAACAATCTCAGTTTATAAAACACTTCTCATAGTATTTAATAACCTTTACATAAATATCATGTACTCTCACATTCTCTCATAACCTTAAATTAGTTTTCACTCTTATATTTATATGTAATAGATAGAATATTATATTTTTAATAAGATTTATATTGAATTCTAATAGAACTCTTAAAATCATTTCATATTTATAATTGTATTATTTATTAAATAATTTTCTTAAAGACATATAATTTCACATGGGAGCAAATAAGAAAGCGATTCACAACATCCCAACAATAAACTCATTACTTCTGTCCATTAAATAATTTGAATCAAATTTTGAATGGCCATTAGATATCCTAACCTGTTGATGTTGGATTTGCATATAATCATGAGAAGAGTTTTGGAAGAATATAGTTCAAATCTCCATACAAAGCACTAAGCAAAAATTATATTAAAGGGCGTTTGCTTGGGGGTTATATGGGATTATTGGGGTTATGTCATTTTATATTACTTGATTACTATGTTTGATTGTCAAATAACATAAGATTCCGGTAATCTTAAAATACTAATAGTAGTTACTATTGGTAATATTAAAAGTTACCTCTATTTTCTTAGGTATTATAAGATTATCAGGATAATCTTTTTTTTTTGTTACAATTCTATCCCTTATTAATAAAATTTAAGGACAATAATGCCCTTATTTTTAAATTTATTTATATGAATCTTGTTTTTACCATTTCACTCCAATTAATTAACTTTTTGGACAAAATTACCCTTGAAATCAAAACAAATTTTAGCTTAGCCAAGCCGGCGCCACCCACCTGCCGCTGCCTATGGCTAGCCAAACCACCGTCGACCACCGTGGGAAGTCGTCGGGAGTAGCCCACCATCATCAAGAGGCTCTGATATGGTCGTTTCTAGCCATATCGAGAGCAAATCTAGCCGTTAACGGCCAGACCCTTGGCCTTTATTAGCCATATCTAAATGAGATATGGCCGTTGGCTTTAACGGCCAGGTCTCGCCTAGATCTGGCCGATAACGACGTGGGATCTAGCCATTAACGGCCATATCTAGTCTGATATGGTTGTTTTCGGCCATCAATATGGTTAGAAACGGCCGTATCAGGGCCTCTCAATCACAATGGGCTACTCATGACGACTTCTGGCGGTGGTTTGCGATGAAGCAGGGTGATAGGGGTGATTTTGTTATAAATTAAAGTTTTATATAAGCGGGGTATTTTAACTAAATTTGAAAAATTAGAGGTTAAAACAAATTGTTTAAAAATTAATAATAAAATAATATTATATTAATATTAAAAAAAAGAGTAATTTAGTAATTTAAATAATATACCCATCAATTTATTCCTCCTAATAAAATATATTAATATAACATACCCATCCATTTATTCCAACTAACCAAATATATTTTCCTAAAGATTCTCAATAATCTTCAAGATAATATAAGATTCTAATAATCCAACATTCCCTGAACCAAATGCATCCTAAACGCATCCTAAGAGTTATTACACAAGGATAATCACCGTTAGGCGACAACTGACGAGGAAACAAAATCATATGAAATTCAACCTAAATGTCTGTACATGGAAAACCATAAACTAAACGGCAAAAGATGGAATAATTTATACGGTTCGTTTAATTCGCCGAATGAGGGACATAATTTCAGCACTCTGCGATGATTTCCTGTGTAAACTCTTGCGTCCATACTTGGGAGAGCCCAGCTGCAACAAAACAAAACAATCCATCATCAAAATGAACCAGCCAAGCTAAGGGAGGGACTTAAATTAATGTTAATGAAAATAAAACTCACCTGGAAGTGGAAGGTAGGATTTGGACCTTTTGACAGTATTGAGAAGCCATCTCGAACAGGCAACACTAAACAAAGGAATTATATCAGTGATGAGCATATCAATGATTTAAGAATCTCATTAAATTAAGCTAGTTTAGTTTGTTCTATTCTGGGTATCAATATATACACAGAGTAGCATATGTTACCTAAAGCAGTGTTAGGATCAGAGTTCTCCGTTGCGGTTTTTGTTGGTGGATTCGTAACTGGTGATAACTTGTCAGTGTACGTGTGAATGAAAAGTGGCACTTCCTTAATGTCAGATTCTTGCTTAAATGTTACTTTTGCTGCCCTTGGAAACTTGAGGTCTCTGCATTGAATATAAATTTTCTTAATTTTGGAAAATTACACCAAGAAATTATGTGTTGTTATATATATGAATGCGACATTTTGTGACGATGAATGGTACCTGGAGTCTTCATTTGATTTCACAACATTTGTGATTGCTGATCAAGAAAACAAGGAAATGAAAAGGTCAAAACAAAAGCTGGTAACTTGTAAAATTTGTTGAAGAACAAAGAGGAGATGTGGGATAATTACGAGCTGATAAATAACGCCGGTGATAGTTTGGCAAAGCTGGATTCCATCTTACTTTGTTTAGAGCAAGCTTGTGAGCGTATTGTTCGCATGAAAGAAGTCTCTGTATAGTATAATAATACAACTCCATGTAATTAAGTTGAATAAATGAAATATATATATATATATATATATTATCAGCAAGATTAACTGTATATACCCACTTGTTTAAGGGTACTGATTCGAAGCTCTGCCTCAGCAAAATCATTGGTATCAGAAATGCAGTGTTCAAGATTAGAAGAGACGCTTCCCAGATGGTCAACAACAGTAACCAGAGCCCTGCATATGTATTCTTTTGTGTTTTCCACAGCACTGTAAATTAACCACAACAATTTTAATTAGTCAATTCACTTCTTTTAGGCCATAAGCTAAGACACAGTTCTAATCTTGATTTATGAGCTTGGATAAAATGAGAAAACATGCAAGAAGCCAGAAAGTTGGTATTTCAGCTGTGAGTAAAAGCTCACTCTTTTGTCTCCTTGACTTTCAAGAATGCTGTTTCGCAGTAATCAGCAGCATAATGAAGCTGAGAGCGCAAATCTCTGAGTTCCTATAACCATAAAGAATTTTAAATTTGACTTGAAGATATTTATATGTACACATATGAACTGAAATGTAAAATGGATATATAATCAAACACACTGACCTTGAGTGAATTCTCCAAGCGAAAATCTTCCTCGGAGTGAGCTTCTTGATTTTGAAAAGCAGATAATTCAAGGAGATGCATTTTTGCTGTTGCGTTGAGATTACGGTTGAAGACAAAAGATAGAGATGAAATGGAATTTAAAGATGCTACGCCTCCCCTAATCTTTCTCTTTATATCCTGTCAGAACAGTGGTTGAGGGAGTTTGATACAGTGACAGAGATATGGGCAACAGGGAGGCTCGTGACAATTAAAAGGTCCAAAAGCAATCAAAGATTCTGTAGCTACCATGAAACAGAAAGATAAAAGAAACAACAAAAATTGAATTCCCGTGATTATTTGTTTCTTTCTTTTTCCTGCTAAAAGTGTTTAATCACCGCCAACATCAACATCAACATCATCTACTGTCATACACCTTGCCACACACATCCAATCAAACGTTCAGTCCATACAGTTTTTTACAGCATTTCTCAAATGAATTAAACAAAAAAACGGGAAGAAAACTATCACGAGAAGTTCTTTATTACTTGTGAACAGATACTATCACGCCTAAAAGTAATTTTTGATGCATCAAAATTTGCATAGATATAATTTATAATTGATTTCTCATCCTTTTGACGGACAAAAGAAAAAAAACACTTGGTCCTTATTTAGAAAGCACAAGGTTGCAATCAATTTTCCAAAACGGGTTTTTGCATGTAATCAAAAAGCCTAAAACTCATTTCCCAGGGGACCCTTTTTAAAATTACGCCCTTTTGTTATTATTTGTGCGTGAATATGAGAGAAAGCTTCCAACAGTTGAAATAAAAATAATTGCTTTGGCTCACTTCCCTAAAAGTCTTTTCAGTGAAAAAGAGGTAAAAAGTGAAGCATGAATTTTCTGTCTTTGTTTTTGTAAAAACATGGCTCTTTTACCTGGCAGAAAAAAGATAATGGAGAGACATAATTCAACAACATAGTAGCAGTGTAGAACACGGTCCTCAAAGCCACAGGGATTCCACCTGAGTGATTAAATGAAGACATATAGCATGATACAATACATGTGAATACCAGAACTGTTTAAAACAGGACAACAAAAAACTATTTTAAAAAGCTTTTTATTTGGACATTCTATAATCTTTAGGAATATCTAACATCCTGCGCATGTGGATGGGGAACACTCTCGAATAATTTCATACGCCAAATATCTTGAGGAAAGCATTCAGTATAAACTGTAACGTCATGTACAAACTCTCACACCAACTTATAGAATAAAATGTACAAAATTGTGAACATGCCAATTCTCACCCCCAACGCTAAACAAACCGCTGGCCTCAAGAATCGTCATGAACTTTCAACCTAAGCTCAGAAAAAAAGCCTTCATAAATGACACCTAACACTAGCATGTGCAGCAGAAGAGAGCTTCATAGATTTTGACAGAGAGCCAGCTCAAGGTCTTCATGTGCAAAACAGATTCCAACTAGGAGTTTATTTCTCTAATTCAATAACATCCGTTAGGTCCTTAAGAAGATATACCTTTACTTCATATCTGAAAATCAATTACACATTCACCAAGTTTCTCTGCAGCCTCAATTTTTGATAGAATTGTCTGATGATTTGATAGCGTGGATACTGAAAGAATATTTCTGAGACTTTCGTATACATTTTGAGTTGGCTTTTCTGTATTACCAGAGGTTCTATCATTTGATAAATGTGACTTTGTCTTTGCTTCTTTTGGAGTTGTTGACCTTGCTTCTTGTTTTTTAGGGTCATAAGGCTGCAAATCTACCAAGAAAAGTAGTATACTCTATTTGTTAGTATAAGACAGCAAACAAACTCTTATGCAGATGAAATAATCACATGTCCCAAAGATGATTCAACACATGATATGGAATGCACCTTTATCTTGAATGATTATGCAAGAGTCAACAAAGTGCTTATATTTCAATGAGATCGTAAACAATCATTTGGAGTATGAAGGCTGTCAACTCATATATTCATAGGAACAATGAACTAATGGATCTTAATGATACCTTTGGAGCGTGTAGCCAAACTTTGCCTGGTTAGATATAAGTTCGCACGTGTAATGCATAACCACATTCTTTCTGCTTCGTAATCATGTTCTGATGCAATTGGAATATGCCAGCTGCCATTCTCCGATTCCTAATGATGTATTATTTGCTGATGAGGTATATTCATCTATCTATCTTATAGTTTTCAAATAAATTTACATCGGACACATTCACACTCATTTAATATTGTTGTTCCTATTTCAAACACAGAAAAATGGCAGAAAAAAACTGGCCACACGGACCTGGATTACAACAGAATATGAAGGAGGCATGTAGAACTCTGGACCAGTTTCAGAAAAACTAAAACGCACCTTGCATTAGGAAAAGAAAGATGCCTAATTAGGATAAAACTGTAAATAAAAGTTTTGAATTTTAAAAGACAAGATTTAACATTAAAAACACTATTGAACTGCTTTACTCACTTGATGTCTTTCTTTCCATTTGGGGAAGAAATCATTTCCTAGAAGCTGAAATGTATGATCTCTCATCTCATCATTGGTCACAATTAAGCATTTAAACTTTATAGCTGCATACAACCAGTACCTGAAGTACATGTTATTACACATGGTAGTATATGTTATTCCCCATGGTACTATAAATGCATACACATCACTAGAAATGATTTTGACAATTAGCTATCCAAATAGCCAATTATATAAAAGTTGAGCTGAATTTAAAAAAAAAAAAAATTTAGAGTGCTTAATGCATTCCCAAAATATGTATTTCTCACCAATCATCATTGGATCCAGTTGGTGTTGCATAGAGTGCATCAGCATTTTTCCACTTCTCAATCAATGCTCTATTTACTGGTTGATCCATCTTGGGTCCGGTGATGCGCTTGTTATGCAAAACAATGAGTGGCCATTTCTTTGAAGGAATCATCTGGCGTATCCCATTAACAATGGCATTGACCTAAAAGAATTCCACCAAATAAAAAGAAAATACTATAGCAACTCCTAAAGTATAGAAGAAAACGAGAAGCTTTCTTGGATCCACATTTTTAAGCCATTATATAACTTACCCTTGATGGTTTGAATTTCCTCTGGCTGAAAAGACCGACATTTGCAGCATCCACCACTGCTTCAAAAGGTCCATAGTAGTCAAGCCATTTCTGCAAACAATAAGCTTTTTTAAATCATAAATTAAAGTCCACATAAGATTGGCATCAACTAAAAAGACAAATGGACTTTCATACTTGAAATTTTTGGAAGCTTGAATTTCTCTCTCTCTTAGCAGCAATGGATACAACTGATTCAGCAAAACTCTCGGTTTCAATAGGATCAAGGTCAATCATGGCCAATTTTTCCCCACAGCACTCACATACTGCATCGGCTCTAATAGCGGTACGTGATACATTCCACTTCCCTTTACCTAACCAGCCCTGCCCATGCCAGCCCCCACCTTTACCATGCATTGTTTCCTTCAATGATCTCCTGTCCCATTTTGTTTTCCCTAGTCTTGCAGCTTCTTTGTTTTCAAACCATTGCACAATTATATCTGCAGTAGAGGGTGAGACTTTTCTTATACTTGTCCTCAATTTATGCAACAAATAATATACCTTGTCACCTTTACCAGCTGCTACACTTACTCTCAGGAGTGCCTCCAATTCAGGCTCTTCAGGATAGACTCCATGCTCTAACATGTGCTTTTCAACAGCAAATGCTTTATCAACATTTCCATTACTGCAGAAAACTGTAAGGGCAGGACCATAAGACCTCAGTCTGGGATTTATCCCTAGTGGCTTCATTTTCTTCACCACATCAAATGCCATGTCACCATTACCCATCGACATTGCCATTCTTCCCACCGCTGTCAAGCTAGCCTCGTTAAGTGGGACCTTATCCAAACACATCCTCTCGTAGATCTCAAATCCCCTCTGGAGTGCATACTTCTTGGCATCTTCACTTAAGCGAATTTCATGATCATCTTGGTTACCGCTGCTCCTACCTTTTTCAGGAGATTGATCATCATCTAACAATTGAGAATTTGGATTCATAGGCCCATTAGAAGTCTGGGTTAAGCTATCTTTTTCACTCAGAGCACTACTGCTACTACTAGAATCAACCGATTGCACATAGTTTGGACCAGAATTTTTCAATTCTGTAACCCCATAACTTACATTGTCCCCGTCACTTAATTCACCTAATTCCATAGAATTCACAGTTGAAACTTCATTAGACATGCCGAATGTATCCAAGGTTCGACTACCACTCCCACTTTTAGCAGGTTTAACAACACCAACAGCGGCAGAGGAGCAAAGATACAAAAGTACATTATAATGGTATTGCCCCAACTTAATCCCTTCCTTAAGAGCTTTATCATACAATTGAATTGCACCCATTACGTCCCCTCTCTTTGAGCACATGTCCAACTGAAGTCTCAACGGAACTTCTGATGAATCATTTTTAGTACTTTCCTTCGACATATTTTTTCCTCTGACCTTATTATAGTGACCGCGCTCATTGCTTCTCTTATTCAATTTTTTTTCATTCACTACCTCGTTGTCCACAGTTTTTGAAGATTTGATTCCTATATTCTCATCTTTAGACTTGAAAGAAGAATTCCCTGAACCCACATCTCTTCTTTTTCTAAAACTAGGATTTCTTCTTGTATTCTTATCCCTACTAAACCTCTTTTCAGAATTTTCCTCCACAGTTGAACCAACAAAGTCTTTTCCTAATTTTTTATAGATCCTTTCGTCTCTAGTTTTTAAAGAAGAGGAGGGAGGAGCAGTGTTTTTTCTAGTTCTTAAAGTAATTGTTGTTGTAGTTTGATGGTGAGTTGCAGAAAACTTTGCATGTAGTCTGCTAACATGATCTTGGACTATAAAAAGTGGGTGTTTGGGAGGCGAGAAAGTGAAGAAATGAGAAAAAGAGTGGAAATTAGAGAGATAGAGAGAAGAAGGACACTTACAAAGAGTGCGTGGGAAGAGATGTTGGTGATGCTGTGGAGTGTTGATGGTAAAGGAGGCCATGTGTGGCCGTTGGAAGAGCTCTCTGTCATACTTTGCTGATATGGTTGCAATATTTGTATAATTCCGAATTACACAACTGCCCTTGGAATTTCGCCATTGTTTTAGACTTAAATATTTTTGTTTGGGCTATTAAGGGAATAACAATTTCCTTCCGTCAGCTCCGGCATGGGAACCTTTCTACGAAGTCCCAGAGCTTCAGAAAACAGTAATTCCATTCTCAAATTTCAATTTTTTTTTTTCTCTATAAAAATTAAATTCTAATTAATTGTAATAGAAAAAACTAATTCCCTAATTTAAAACACAATTAAATTTTTTGACAAAAAAGTTATTGAATCAAAGATTTTATTCTTTTAATTTCATATAACACAATCCAACATGACAACTATTTTTTTTTTTTAAGAAATTTTGTATAGATATAGAAATATATATTAAGTGAAAATATTATTCTAAAGTTCTTAATAATATTTTAATATATGATCATAACTTTTTAAACTTTTTCATCCCACATTCAATCATTTTTCCCTAATATTTTATTTCACTCTTCTCTCTTCAAATAACACGTATGATACATGGGTACTCATTGGTATAACTCAAATTAGGGGACATTAGACCTTTCTTACCATAATAACTGAGTAAGCCACTTTTTCCCAGCCAAGGTTTGCCTTAATGACACTTTCCCACCCAAAAAGTTTTAAAATACCACTTTTCCACCTAAAGTTAATATTTTATTATTACCCAAAACCGATTCTAACAAAGAAAGTTCTCTCTATCACCATATTTTGAATCTCTGGTCTCCTCTCTACAAAATCTTTCTCACTTTAACAACTAATTTTTCACCGATTGCCGGTCACCACAAAGCTAGAGTTTCCGATTGATTCTGACAGCGAATATTCAATTGGCCACCACCATTTAATTCATCGGTCTCCACTCTACAAAAACCCTCTTACCCTGACTTCTGATACTCACCGAACGCTGGCTGAAAAAGTAAAGCATATTTTGGGTATTAACGAAGTATAGACTTTAGGCAAGAAAGTGGTATTTTGAAAGTTTTTTATTGGAAAAGTGTCATTAAGGCAAACCTTGGGTGGGAAAAAAATCGTCACCCAATTGTTGTGATCCTATGGCTCAAAATGAATTAATATTAAAATATCTTATCTCACACATTCTCAACAATTTAAATCTAACTAAATAAATAAACTACACGATTATTTGAATAAATTAAAGATACTTGGAGGTCCAAATGCATTTTTTTTTTTTTTTTATAACACCCTTTCTCTTGACACCATAAATGAAACTTACGAAGGTACCATATTTGCATATACTATTTTCTACTTAATTTTATTATGCAAATAATCTATACAAAATCGAAATTTCATCTTTTGAGACTGCTTTTTTTATTGAATAGACAGTTCTGACTCCTTGACCCTCCTTGTTCTTCAACTATGAACATGTATCTTGTTGAGCCATAAAAATGGTCTAAACCAATGCCTCCTGGCAGCAAGCTCTATTCGCAAAGTTTATGCTAATATATATACGCAATCTCACGGGAAAATGGGAAATAGAATAGCGGTTGTTAATAACTAATATGAGTAAATCATTTCCACATGACTGCTATGAGTAAATGATTTCCAATATGAACACAATCCTTCCCACCATTTTTAAGGAACTTGGTTTGAATTGCCAGTATCGCCAAATAGAAAAATGAAACATTGAAACAATGTCACCCATGTAAGATTGTTATAGCCTGTAACTGGAAACAAGAAAGAACAAGCTACATACCACCTTTTTCTCTTTGGGGGCACTCTCGCATAAAAGGAAATGCATAGTACTTGTTGAACAATGATATCCAGAAAGTAAAAACCAAGCAATATTTGGCATCACTTGAGGAAGATACTAAAAGATAAAGATACCAAAAAGATTGCGTAAACATCATAGAATTTTGAATTGGAAACAAAACAAAAGCACTACATTTCTATCCTCAACAGAAAATCTACCCTGTGTCCGCTTGCTGCAAACTCTGTCATAAAGGCATTGATATACCTGTAATTATGGGCAAAAGAAAGCATTAAAATAATAAATGATGTTATACGAAGTCAAATGAAATAGAGTATGATTCATCTTGTAATTAGAAAAAGGGAAAACAACTTGTACTGTGACAACATCGACTAAAGGGTATTTTTCCTTCCCTCGGTTGTTAAGATATGAACTAAGACATATCCCAATCTGACCTGATTCAGTCCCACCACTCTACCACTTTAGCTAATATTTTCGGCTCCTTCATTGTTCCCTCTTGCAGTTTGAACAACATGGACCACAATTGAGCCTTACTCATTTTACTTGCCTAAGCAAACATGTTGACATAATGATTACAGCAAAATCCTAACTTCCATTTACAAGTGTATCGATGGAACATAAATAGGTACTATGACTTCCAAACCATTTTAACAAGTATTTATGATGTCTGATGTGAATCTAAATTACATCACATTAATCTCCTGTATGAAGAAAAGAATCAATTCCTTACACATACCGACCATGAACCAGTCCATAACTGTCGTTTCTCATAGCTGTAAGCTAATGAGAGACAACCCAAAAATAAGATGACTGAAACATTCATACTAGCCAGCCTGCCCTTACCATTCAAGCTGCTTCAATTTGCACTTTGCACTTACTTTTTCTTACAAGCAGTACAATAAATTTTTACAGTCAAAATTCTTAATAGTTATAAAGTTTTCAATTTGACATGCCAAAATGCATCAAATCTCTGCTGCTATGCACAATCAACTCGACAGTTCCATTAAGCTTTTGCAGAACTACTTTGCACATGCCTAAATATCTTTCAATTGCAAGTCATATAGCCAAGTCGCATTGTATTGATTGCTAAAGTTATATATATAATGCTAAATGGACTTTCCTAAGCCTAGATATGTCAGTTTCCATTTCCCTCCCAAATCCCATTTGAATGCCTTCACATTGATAAGCAATAATAAACTCATAACAATAAATGTATATAAAAAATACAAAAGTACTAACCTTGAGGAACTAAACCCCAGCAGTGAGATTCCAAGGACAAGCTTGATCTTAACCGAGCCGAAGCAGTTGCACTATGTAAGGGCAGCATTGAGTCCAAACTGCTCAGCTCCACAGGCAATCTAACCACCAGAATCATTTATAAAATAATAATAATGATATAATTAATTAAAAAATAATAGGTGTAAATAATGAAAAGTGTTCTTGAAGGTCTCACCGTGAGATGCGAGAAATGGGTCTTGTAGAAGCAGGGAAGGGCGAGTTGAGCGTAGAGAGGGGTGTTTTGTTGAGCTTGAGAGCGTGAGACTGTAGTCGAGAACACAACCTAGACACAACCTTTGAAGAAGCCATTCTTGGATTTTTCAATTGTGGGATTTTGTGATTTGATTTCACTCCCTACCTCTTTACTTAGATTAATAGATTATACCTGATTGCCATTGGCTGATTGTGCAATTTTGAATAAATTAATTTTTTGACTTGCAATTTTAATCTAAGAAAAACAAAAACAAAATACGTAACTTACACGCTTTAAAAATTAATATAATTGTTAAACTTATATATATAAATATATACCAAGACTTTTAATTAGTAAAGTGAAAACATTTAAGTTGATAAATATATAATAAAATATATATTAAAGTAATAAGTAAAAAAAAAAAATATAATTTTAAAAGTTATACATATTAAATTATTAACTCTATAATTATTCAGAACGGTTTTTTATATTTTGAAAACTTATTAATTAAACTCAATAAAAATTTATAGTTCGTGATCTTTCATTAATTAAAAAGGATAAAATAATAAATTTTTAAGAAAAATAATAAAAAATGAGTATCATCTTACATTATAATCTCTAAAGAATTAGTTTTTATTGAATAATCTAACTAAAGGAAGAAATTGAGATGAGACGAGGGAGAGAGAAAAAATGAAAAATTGTTCATTAATATAAATTTTAGATAAATATGAATTTAAGTAGGTCAAAATCATCAATTATTATAAAATTTTAAACCTAATTTAATTTATCTAAACTATTTTGTCGGACAAGTGAGCATTTTCCTTACTATGGCTATGTATGAACCAATTTTCCTTACAATGGCTATATATATGGGATGCCTCAAGCATGAAAAACAAGAGGCTTCTGAGTTATGTAAATATTGGGTTGTGTTTGTTTCCCTATTCAAAATATTATCATATCCATTCCTATTAAATATATTTGTTTCAATATTTTTAAAATCCAATCATATTCTATTCAACTTAAAATATTTAAATTTTCTTAACTCATTAGGTTTGTTAATGTAATTAAACACCTCCAACAATAAAAGTTTAAAAATTGATAAAAACACTCCTACCCACTCACATATTCCTAATAGTCGGTTATTACTGCTGAAAGGTGGTTGGAATCTGCCGAAATGGCACATGACCGACTAGATTTGGTTGGTCGTGCGTCAATCTGACATTTTCTAACCAGATTCACCATAAATCTAGTAAAAAAATGTTAGATCAACAGCCATATCTAGCCACATCTGGTCGTCATCGATGGCCATATCTTGGTCGTCGTTGACGGCCAAGATATGGTCGTCGTCAATAGCCAAATTCATGATGGATTTGGTTGGAAAAGGCCAGATCGGCGCACTACCAGCTAGATCCAGCCAATCTTGTGCCATTCTAATGACTGTCGGCCACCGTCCGTCGGTGGTGGCTGACTACTAACATTTAGTGGGTGGGTGGAGGTGTTTTTGTTAATTTTAAAACTTTTATTGTAAGGGCTGTTTAGCTAAATTAACAAATATAGAGGATTAAAAATAGTCAAAATATATTGAGAAAATGTTTTTGAAAAATTTACCAAATACATTTACAAATTCAAATATTATTCTCGTAATAACAATTCAACTCAATTTTTTTAAAACCACTATTCTAAATACTCTACCAAACACAACCTAAAATATTTAGTGTGAAATTAATACTTAATTTATTTTTATGCAAACAAAATTGTTGCAGTGATAAACAAGCAAAAACTTCTTTAATAAAACGATGAGTGTTATGCCTGGAAAAGTAGGGCTGACGTAGAGCCCAACCAACACAAGTGGTCAGGGTCTAGGCAGATCCTACAGCCATTCAGACGCGGCCACGTCGCGTGCTGGCGTGAGCAGCATGCTCCTGTCAGTGCAGTGGGTGCGCGCCAGACTGACGAAACGCTGGAAGTCGTCCACGTGTCCAATCCCTGCATAAAGCGAGGAGATCACGCGAGTAGGTGAATAACGGGACACAAAGGAGGATTTGCACGGTACCTGACCCATTTTTACGGATTCAGTAATGATTACCTCAATGTATCCCACTATAAATAGATAGCTTCTCTCCTGTTTGTGGGATTGACTCATTTTTTACTCTTGATTAGCTAATCACGCTTTGTAATAGCTTATTCTCTCTTTCCTTTGTATTCTCAATACTCTAAAGTCAACTCGCTACGTCGTGACCTGACCTTTCAAATATAAATACAATATCAGTGGACGTACGATTCGCTTGTTTAAGCATCCGAACCACTTTAAAATATTGTCTTTCCACCATTTACATTCTCAATCCTCCATTCACGTGTGTTTTCTGGGTCAGCTCAGCATTTCATACATACGTTTAGTTGGTGTCAAAATCACGCATTAATAATGAGTTATAAGACGTAGACCTCATGAGGTATGATATACAGAGGAAGAACAAAAATCCTTGTTAATAAAATATTAAAATTTATAAATTAATAAATATTTACCAAATACCTTTCTATCATTTATTTTAACACTCAAAACTTAATGGTTTATATATTATTTTTATTTCAAAACCTGAAAGGAATTTTTGTAATTTCATCAAACCTGGGAGGAATTAATAGCATTAACTCTATAAATATTTCGTATGTATGTTGTATAAACATGAGTGCACTTATTTATTTTTCTTTAATCTAGTTTAGATGATTTTGAAGTTACAAGAGGAAGTAGAGAATCCGGTAATTTAATATTTGGATAAAAAATTGAAGAAAGAAATACATGAAAAGATGAGTAGTGTTTGATATGGCACCAGGGCATGCAACATGGTTAGTCCCGCTGAGTTTCAAAATTTATAATATGTAGACCTTTATGTTATTTGTTACGCCCTAATTCTAATGCTAATTATCATTGCCAGATCGTACTGTATTATTATTCTATTGTTGATCATTATCGTTAGATCATATCTAAAAGGAAATCTAATATTGAAAAACGACTTTTTTTGTTGATCTAATAATGTTTGTTATTAATTATCAAAATTTTTCTAACTTATGAAGTTAATCAAAATCCTTTCAACATTTGATACGAAAATATCTTATGACAATTTTTTAAAATGGAATTAATAACACAAATGGTTGCTAACAAGTAACAACTACCAATGAAGCAAGTGTGAAACTGAAATGAACAAGTTTTGTATTTTTAATATAAATAAAAATACCTTTCAATGAAAACACTTTTTTTCATTTATCACGATTCACGAGAAATAATGAAAAACGACGGTGTGAAATGTGAAGGCAGTTGAGGGGAAAGGACTCTCAGCAGGAGTGAGGAGTGAGATGTAATTTCCGGTGGGAGACTCTCTTTTATCATTTTAAACAGTATTTTTGAAATATTACTATTAAGTTAATTTGGGTTATTATTATAAAGTAGGATTTAAAAATTAACAAAAAAATCGTATAGGTTTGTTAATTTAGTTAAATACCTAAAATAATAAAAAATTATAAATTGACAAAAACACTCACATCTACCCACAGTTACTAGATTCTGGCTATCACCGTTAGAATCTGGCTAGAATCTAATGTCATTGTGCATGATCGGTCAGATCTGGCCGGTCGTACGCTAATATAACATTTTTCGACTAGATCCCTGAAAAAAGAAGCCAGAAAATTATTTCAGCTGTGAGTAAAAGCTCACTCTTTTGTCTCCTTGACTTTCAAGAATGTTGTTTCGCAGTAATCAGCAGCATATGAAGCTGAGAGCGCAAATCTCTGAGTTCCATAACCATAAATAAAGAATTTAAATTTGACTTGAAGATATTTATAGTACACATATGAACTGAAATGTAAAATGATATATAATCAAACACACTGACCTTGAGTGAATCTCAAAGCGAAAATCTTCCTCGGAGTGAGCTTCTTGATTTTGAAAAGCAGATAATTCAAGGAGATGCATTTTTTTGAAGACAAAAGATAGAAATGAAATGGAATTTAAGATGCTCCCCCTCCCCTAATCTCTCTCTTTATATCTCTTTCAGAATCGGTGGTTGAGGGGCTTGATACAGTCAGAGATATGGGCAACAGGGAGGCTCGTGACACATCACTGTTAAGGAAGGGAAACAGGACAATTCCAAAAGCAATCAAAGATTCTGTAGCTACCATGAAACGGAAAGATAAAAGATGACAAAAACCATTGAATTCCCGTGATTATTTTTTTCTTTCTTTTTTCTGCTAAAAGTGTTTAATCACTGCCACATCAACATCAACATCGTCTACTGTCACACCTGCCCAACACATCCAATCAAACGTTCATTCCATACAGTTTTTTACAGCATTTCTCAAATGAATAAACAAAAAAACGTGAAGAAAAACTATCACGAAAAGTTCTTTTATTACTTGTGAACAGATACTATCACGCCTAAATGTAATTTTGATGCATCAAAATTTGCATAGATATAATTAAATAACTGATCTTCTCATCCTTTTGACGGACAAAAGTTAAAAACACTTGTCCTTATTTAGAAAGCACAATGGTTGCAATCAATCTTCTCAAAAGGGCTATTTGTAGAGCATTGCATGTAATCAAAAAGCCTAAAACTCATTTCCCAGGGGACCCTTTTTAAATTACGCCCTTTTGTTATTATTTGTGCGTGAATATGAGGGAAAGCTTCCAACAGTTGAAATAAAATAATTGTTTTGGCTCACTTCCCTAAAGTCTTTTCAGTGAAAAGAGGTAAAAGTGAAGCATGAATTTCTGTATTTGTTTTTGTAAAAACATGGCTCTTTTACCTGGCAGAAAAAAGATAATGGAGAGACATATATTCAACAACATGGTAGCAGTGTAGAACACGGTCCAAAGCTACAGGGATTCCACCTGAGTGATTAAATGAAGACATATAGCATGATATAATACATGTGAAACCAGAACTGTTTAAACAGGACAACAAAAAACTATTTTAAAAAGCTTTTTATTTGGACATTCTATAATCTTTAGGAACATCTAACATCCTGCATGTGGAAGGGGAACACTCTCGAATAATTTCATACGCCAAATATCTTGAGGAAAGCATTCAGTATAAACTGTAACGTCATCTACAACACTCTACACCAACTTATAAAATAAAATGTACAAAATTGTGAACATGCCAATTCTCACCCCCAACGC